GCTGAATGTGATGAAAACATTTGAAAAAGGTTCGCTTATTGAAATAAATCTACACCAGTTAGTACTTCGATTTCCAGGTAAAGGGAAAAGGCTCATTATCTGCCATATTGGCAGTGAGGATGGATTTGTTGTTGACGGTCTGTGGTGCTTTGAGTCTAAGAAAACTGGAGATTACCACGAGGAAATGAATGGCGAATCGTTTGAACAGTGGTTTTCAAAAATTTTACCGAACTTAGAGGAAAACGCAGTAATTGTGTTGGATAATGCGCCTTATCATTCTCGAAGAATGGAGAAGGTCCCAACAACGGCTTCAAGGAAAGTTGATGTTCAAAATTGGCTCCGCTCGAAAAATGTCAACTTTGAAGAAGCAATGCTGAAAGTACAATTATTAAGAATTGTCAAGGATCACATGGCGGAATATCAAAAATACGCCATTGACGAAATGGCAGCAAGTCAAAATAAAACTGTGCTCCGTTTACCTCCATACCATTGCGAGCTCAATCCCATTGAGCTCATATGGGCAGAGGTTAAAAATTATATAGCTAAGCACAATACAACTTTTAAATTTTGTGACCTCAAAGGACTTTTCAAAGAAGCACTAGAATTAATAACAGCGCAAAAATGGGAAAACTGTATTAAGCACGTGAAAGACAAAGTTGAAAAGAGAATGTGGGAACTGGACAATATTTTAGAGGAACAAGTCGAGCCATTCATTATTGACGTTGGTGCTTCAGGCAGTAGCGATGATGAAAGCTCATCAAGCTGATCTTTCCAATAAAAGATGTCGTTCATCAAATTCGGTAAGTTATAAGAAATTATAAAGCTACTGTATTTTTTAATTAATTATTGACATTTTTGAACCCATTTTGGCAAAACATATTCAAGAATCTACTTTCTGACAATGTTCAACCATGCACATTTTTTTACGTTTCGAACGTTTTAATTTGGTTACATATTTACGTAGAAATCAAAAAATATACTAATCAATATTCTAAAAGCAATTTTAAGAGATATACGATTATTTTTAATTTAGGCTAATTTAAACGCCATTTTGAGATTATATTCGACTGTATTTCACCAAACATCAGGCGGCATCCGAAGCTGGAAATCGAAGCGAAAATTTTGAAACCCTTATGTATATTTACATCATTATATATTTCTTACCCCACCCCCACATGATCCTATATCCATCACCAATCGTATACACATCGAATTGTGCTAATTTACTACAAAGTTACGCAACGCAGCATCTACTATCTAAAATATGTACTGCGTGACTCTTAATATGTCCCTGCCGAATGTTACAGCGTTCGATGATCACGTGGTCTTGTTTATGTCCGGTCTATCTCTTATCTGAATATACTGTAGAACTCGCTGGATTTGGAGTAAAAAAATTGGCAGACTGCATTAATTACACCATCTCGAGTTGTGAACTGTCGGTGCCTCAAAACAGTTGTCAAGAGACAAAAAAAAGGTGATAATTACTGGGCGAAATGTCGGGAGAATATGACGGGTGCGGTAACGTTTCCCAGCCGGGTTCTGAAACTTTTTCTCGGGTCACTTTTGCGGTATGAGGCTTGGCGTTATCCTGCAAGAATATCACTTTCTTCCGATTGGTCAAAGAAGGCTATTTCTGGATGAGTGCATGCTTGTACTCGTTGGAGCAGCTCACAATACAAGTTAGCAGTGATGGTTTGACCCCTGTCCAAAAACTCATAATAGACAATTCCAGTAGCTGTCCACCAAACACACAACAAAACCTTGCTTGGGCGTGTGTGGTACCGAATGAGTAGGTGGCAACCAATGATATGAACGCCTAGAATTCGAATACAAGATCCATTTTTCGTTACAGGTTAATAACCGATTAAGAAATCGTTCATTAGCGTTGCGTGAAATATTTGCTGTACAAATGGTAAGACGACTTGTACTCATGCAGTAAGCAACTTCGAATTACTGTTTTATTCGACACCATTTTTAGTTATTAAAACTAGGTATGTAACAATTTTCAGCAACTTTTTATGTGTGTGAGAACAGAAGGATTCATATTAAAGTGACACCAGGTAACAAACAATCGCTATCGATCAACAGCATCCATGGCAATGTGTGATATACAGCAACCGCACGAACTTATTCGGTTACCTGATATATATATACACACACACACACATGCAAATCGTGAGGGTAAAAAATTCCGCTAGGCACAAAAAACATTAAGTTGTTACTATGGACGCGAGAGTGCTACGTTTGCGCATTGGAACGATCGAGTTCCCTTTATAAATAGATTTGCCACTCTTAACACTTTGACTACTACGCATGCTGGTGATACATGACTCAACAGAAACTGGTACACTTTTTTCTCAAAAAAATATATTTTGATATATTTAAGTATACAAACAGAATGAAAACAACAAGTTTTTCCACAAAAAAATATTTTTTTGACTGTGTCCAGGTACAGTACACACAGTCTATATAAAAAAAAATACAGCTTGATCACCTTAAAGTATGTATATCATGCATGACCACATTTCTCATTTACGTAAACTGCAGTTGTGAGTGTCGAAAAAGCACTTCATACATAAAAATTTGTGTTCACACCCCTGACAATGCATTTTAATCCTAGGAGTGTTTGCCATTGCATAGGCTCGACCATTTCTTTCACTATTAGCTTTGTAACATCTGGTACATCTACCCCTTGATGTTATCTCGATGATTTTGTGATTCCTAGAGATCCCTTCAGATGGAATATCTATAATATTATGCCTCTCATTGAAAAGTTTGTTTACAAGCTCCTCCCTGAACTTGGTTATATTTATAGTTTTTTTAGTAAAAAATTGATATGCTATGTGAGCATTCACAACTGCAGTATTTGTGAGTATTTCTATGGCCACCTTTCTATACCATTTTATTCCGCGTCGAACAGTAGTCGAGTAGGAAGCCTTTTGGTCAGACACATCTATAAAAGACTTGATACTATTATACTTTGCAATAGTAGATGGTTTTTTTACAACACCTCGTTTTGTTTGTACGTCAGTCATTTCAGGCACTGCTTCGGTCGTCAAAAATAAGACCTCTCTTTTGTCTCTCCATTTTCCCACTATCACATGGGTATTACTCTCACGTACAATCAAGTCCCCTTTTTCCAGTTTTGCATCTGTAATTGGCTTTGGATTAAATTTCCTATTTTTTCTCAGAGTCCCAATAAGGTGTGTCTTTCTATCCAAAAGTTCGTGTGCGAGGCTAACGCTAGTATAAAAGTTGTCTGTGCATAGTAGACGTCCGCAATCTAAGAGAGGCTCCATAAGTTCGAGAACTACGCGACTAGCAACTGACTGTGAAGTCGGGTTGTCCTCCTTGCCTGAATATACTTTTAAGTTGTATGTATAACCTTTCTCCGCACACAGTTTGAAAATTTTTACTCCGTATTTATGTCGTTTACCCGGTATGTATTGACGAAAGCTAAGCCGGCCTCTGAATGGAATCATTGTTTCGTCAATACATACGTCTTTTTTGGGAATACATGCAGCTTGAAAATTCGTAATGAGACCGTCCGCTAATGGTTGAATTTTGTATATGCGATTCGTACGATCTGTTGTCTCATTATCTGAAAAATGCAAATTTGATAGAAGCAATTCAAACCGCATTCTTGACATTCCAATGTATTTTCCCAAATCATTTTTGTATAGTATATTGCGCGAAAAGTAATCTTTCAGTGTCGGCTTTTTGTCTAGTCCCATCCAAATTAGCATTCCTATGAATGCTACTATTTCAGACTCATTAGTATCTTTCCAGTGAGTTAATAGTGAATTTTTTTGGATAGTTTCATTTGCTATGCATGATAAAATTTTTGCGTCGCATAGCGGTTTGTTTCTTGAACTATCATAGGTATGATATCGGCCAAGAAAAGCTTATAAAAGTCTAAAGGCTCATCTCCGCTTCTTTTCGCAAAAAACTCTGCAGAGAATCCTGGGTTGGCATTGAACGGATGATCCTTCAAACTTCCTGAAGAGAAAAATACTTTGTAGCGTCGCAATAAATCCTAATTTACTTTATTTTACCTGAACAATCATTCCAGATAACTCGAACTTCATGTGATCCACTTACATCTCTGTTGGGGCTGCACTCATCTGAGCTACTCTCGCTGCTTTCAGACAAATTCACTTCACTGTCAACAGGAGTGTCTATAGCCCCGACATTTGCATTTGCTTCCACACAAATTTCTAGCTTCTTTCTTTTTCTTGCAGTGCCAGCATCGAATTCACTATCGGTACTTTCTGATGAACTGAAATTCTCGAAGTCTGGATCACCCACTGAGTCATCGACGTCCGATTCGTATTCACAATCGCTCATATTATTCCCTCCAACTCCTTATCGGTTAAAGCCCTATCACCCATTTTGCATTCAAGAACGCAACCGAGCACGATAAGCAGAAGAAAAAACTACGACATACGACCAAAACGTGTAAACAATACGTACACGTTACGACTAAATTACTATACAGCTTGGTGCTTCCATCTATGAATTAAGGGTAAAACTATTTGGCCAATCTTTCGTCATAAACTATACTATATAGAACATGCATTCATTTCAATGATAAGCGTGACCACATAACGTACATAACGGATCAAACCTAGCCCATACCTGTGACCACATATGGGCACATAGTTTATCCATAAAAGTTAGATGTGTATCATTTTTTGTACACATAGTAGTTAAAGTGTTAAGCTCAGTGTCAGGTCATATAATCTGCGTGAAATTCAAAATGCCACCTTACTAGGTTGCTCTTGTTATCTCACCATCAAAGAAAAAAATTATACCTCCGACGTGCATAGGATATTGACAAAATCTTGTACGCGCAGCACCAGCATTGTATCATAATATTAGGAAAGTTTTAAATATACATTATTTTGAAAGCATTTCACTGGAATTTTTAGAAACCTATGCAGTGTATCTGGGTTTTGACGTTTTAACCTAAGATCACTCCACTACTACAACTAAAACTCTATATCCTGATAAAGAAATCTGTATTTGAAGCACATGTAATATTTCAGCTGTGTCGTACATTGACATCCGTATCATTAGCCACGTAATTTATTGGCCGCTACTTTCTCCTGGTAAGTCTCCGCACGTAAAACACAAGTTAGCAAAGAAACGCCTAATCAATATTCCATCAATAACGAATTTATTGTGTTCATCCTCGATTAGAGCAGAAGGCTTAACAGTGGTTTTGATGCAAGTGTTCATACAATATCGATTATCACTTAGACTCATTGTGCTCCACACATAAATTACAGAGGCAATCGGGACTGCCGCAGTACGGTGCTTGTTTATTGTCTGCCGGCGCTTTTCCGTCCTTCATGCAGTGGCCTAAAAATTCATCCATTAGTTATAAGAAAACACTAAGAACGAATACACTACTACACTCAAGGTTTTAGAATCCTCAGCTTAGTTTTCAACAGAGCTATTCACATCCGGCAGGGTTATTACATAAAAAAACCTATACAGGGTGATTCACAAGTCGTGACCAAAAATGAAACATCATACACAGGACCGCATTTTAAGGGGGGTCTTCTATGTAACGTATTTTCCTCGATTGCTTCATTAAAAAGATACAGGGTGTTGAAGTTTAAAAATAAAAACAATTTTCTTTAATTCTTTCAAAAGCGTCAACTGGAATGAACTAAAATTTGATATGTGGATTTACTTCAGTATTGTCCACTTTCTAAATTGTTTACTTAATATAAATGTGTAATAGTGGCGGAGATACAGGGGATTAGTAGCACTATTTTTCCAAATAAAAATAGTACGTCACTGGTTTTTTTTCGAAACGCGCAATTTTCCGAATTTAACCTTCAATTTGCTACAAATAATTACTCTTGTGTTTTTTGCTAGAGTGCACTGTTTTCGTACAAATAAAACAAATCAGATCATCCATGAAAAGTCGAGATGCAATTAGTTTCAAGATAAAATAGGAGGCTTTGATTCCAACTTGACGTTTCTTGGGAGATGGTTTGTCAAAGTTATGTGTTATACGATTGTTATCGTTACTACTGCCATTTTTTTTGTAAAAGTCAAGTCAAAAGTTTCTTTTTTCCATTTTTGTGTGTTCTGAAATGGAATTTAGCAATGATGAGTACGACAAACATTTTTGTGTACGGGTTCTGTAATGGAAATGCCTTAGCGGCTTCTCGGGAGTATCAACGTAGATTTTCTAACAGATGCCAACCTACCACAAAGGTTTTTACGCGTTCATTTCTAAGACTTCGGTAATATGGAATTGCCAAACTTACCGGAGTTAGAGGCCATCATGGTGTCCGGCCTACTGTTTAAGAGGAACTGGAAGTGATTAATTTGGCGTTAGATGATCCTAGTACAAGTATTGGGCGGATTGCAGCCCAGTTACGAAGTGCAACGGCGACATGTTTGTGAGTGGTTACTGCAAATGCATAATCAAAATCCAGATTTTATTGATTTGTTTTTGTGGTTAGATGAATCGCTTTTTACGAGGTGTGGAATCTTTAATTCTCATAATAAATATATTTGGTCGTTATAAAATCCCCGTTTTGTAAGAATCCACTCGTCTCAACACATATTTTCTAGAAATGTCTGGTGCGGCATTTTCAATGGCTAACGTATAGCCACAACGTCTAAAATGCAAACTCATACTTAGGCTTTATAGAGAATTACATATAAAATGTGTTAGATGATGTTCGTTTAGCAACGAGAGAACGAATGTGGTATCAGCACGACGGTGCTCCACCACGTCCGTCGTGACATAACCGAATGGCTAAATATTATTTTAGTCAACGATGGATTGGCAGAAACGGACTCGTACATTGTCCTGCGAATTTTCCTAAATTTAACCCACTGGATTTCTTTTTGTAGGGTGCTTGTAAACAACTAGTGTATGCTGAATAAACTAATACTGTTGATCAGTTGCAAGAAAAAATATATAATGAGTTTCTTCAAATTCAAGCCACAACAAATTTTGCGGAAGTACGTTTTTCTTTGTTAAAAAGATGCCGCATTTGTATCCGTCAAAATGGTGGTCTTTTGAACATGAGTCGAAATAAAGTTTTGAATATCTAATTTGTTTTTTATTTTTACAAAAACGCAAGAGTAATTATTTGTAGCAAATTGAAGGAAAAATTCGAAAAATTGCGCGTTCCGAAAAAATCAGTGCCGTACGATTTTTATTTGTAAAAATAATGCCACTAACCCCCTGTATCTCCGCCACTGTTGCAAACTTGTTGACTAAGCAGGCTAGTGTGCACGCATGCTACAAGTGAGCATGAAGTGGTAGACAACTAGTTTCGAGTTAAAGTCTTGTCAAAAAATCAACGTAATGTCACTTTTCAAGTTACGTAATCTCCCTGCGAGATGTCATGGTGACATCACCAATGATGCAGCTGTGACTACTTGTGGAATCGAAGTTCGCCAGATAGTGGCCTGCCTCATTGCTTGCTTGCAGATGACGGTCACAACGTGATAGCCTCATATGGCGGAACAAAGAAGTAAAGAGCAATAATCAGAAGAAAATCTGAGTACATCTCTTTATCTTTATAGAAACTAGAGCAGGTTTTCTTTGAAGGGAGAAACAAATATAACGAAGCGGTCCACAATGCCAAAACCAGCACGATGTAAAAATTAGGAATAGGGTAGTGTGGCCGCACAACGGTAGTCTGACTTTCTGGAAGCTGGCCATGCAGATTGAAAGGAACTTCTCGCAGACTGACTCTTTGCTGCCAGCTCCATCATGGATGTCCGTCCGAATGCCCGGGTGACGTCTATCCACACACTATGCGGAAGTAACATTCAGTCATAAGACCGTAAGTCGGGTGATCTTGTTGCTCGACATCAATGAGGCTTTTGGCCCGACTTGATTCCTGCCGTTGTGTTGAAGAGAGGTGCAGTGGAGCTTACTTCACTTCTTTCGCGTCTCTCCAAGACATCTCACGAACTCCGGCACTTTTCCAAATCGGGAGCTTTTGGAGTACCTAGAACGACACTACTTGGTTAACGACAGGCAGTTTGGTTTCCAACACCAGCGATCAACAGGGGACCTACTAGCTTACGACATGCAGAGTAAAGAGTAAACTCATCCAGTCTTATGGTGACGCTCATGTCGTTACTCTTGATATCAGGAACACGAAAACGTTCGGTCAGCTGTGGTATGCAAACTTCCATCCTATGGACTTCCAGGGAAGCCTTGCAGATGGGTAGCTGACTTCCTTCCTGGCCGCAAGCTGTCCGTTGCAACTGACGGGTTCTCGCTTTCATCCTTCAACGTCAACGCTGGTATCACCCAGGAATTGACTCCGACATTGTTCCTTTTACACATCAACAACATTCTTTCCTGTACGGTCAATCTAGTACACAGCATTGATGATGACAGCACTTTACATGCAGGAATTCAGAATGACAATCCGGTCTAAGCCGGTGAGCTGGAGAAAAGAAGACAGTCAGCGACTACCTCTCTGGCGAGAGACCTGGAGGCTATCACTTCTTGGGGACGCATCAATCTGGTACAGTTTAATGTTTCCAACACACAGCATTGCACCTTGAACAAGAAGCATCTTAGCGCTTATCTCGTTTCGACGGATGGCCGAGTTCTACCAAGGAGCCGTTCATTTCGGCTGGCCGGAGTCCAGCGATCCAGCTCTCTTCTACCGCTATGCCAACCTGGTTTCTCGTCAGAACTCTGCTTCATGATACCGCCGCACGATGTACCTGCCTGAACGACCCGCTCGACTTCAGCCTCCCTTACTAACCGTGTCGAACTTCGTACATCCAGAACTGGCCGATACGACGCTCCTCTGTCCTTGTTCAACAATATACATGAGGAGGCTTTCACAAATTCTTATATAGTTCAAAAATCGGAAACAAAGTTTGTTTAAGCTCCTCATAGCAGCCGACGTGTCCTGGCATTTAGGATTCTGCCTACGCGGCTTACTGACATTTCAAAAGACGCTGCTTAGAAACATGTTTCGCTGGTCACACTGGCATCTCAGATTTGCAAGGAGAGGTCACCAGGCGCCACATAGGTCGCCAGGTCAGCTTCCATATGCTTCAAAAGATTAGTCTGGCTAGGGATGCGGGCGACGTCCTCTTAACGTCTCGGCGAGGAAGGGCTCTTATAATAAATACCTATGACGAAATTCAAATTCACATTCATGCGTTCTCAAAAACGCTTTTGAGATTTCAATGCACTAAGTAAATACGATATAGCAATACGCCGGTTCCCGTAGGCGAAGCCAGAATGTGCGCATGTTGCATGCACACGTGTCCCTGAGGCGTTCCCCCTTTCCCATGTATCCCCCTATAGCCTCACGGTACCCAATGGGTGTTTAGGTCGTAGGCCTTCGTGGTAGTTGAAGTATAAAAAAAATACGATAAAATCGTATTTTCCCAAAAACTTTATTTTTCCTGACTTCACTTGAGGTGCGAATTGAAAATAAAACTAAAACGGAATATTTCTGAGAACTATGTTCGAGCACGAACAGTACCACATACCGTGTCATCATGCGACTGAAAACGCCGCCTTTCATCCGATCTCCGGAGCTACGCGGCATTAGATGCGGAACACCTCATATTCTTGTTTTTTTTTTTTAGTTTTTCTTCTTTCCTCTTACGATGAATGTTCCAAATTTAGATACCCCACATCAACTGTCGCTCACACAGTAAATGTAGCTATGAGGTATGCACGTTTTAGTTTTTTAGTCTCAAACAGTCTGGGACACACTTTTTGTTTTTCCAGAGATTTTGGAGATCGGCTATGTTTTTTAGTATCGCAGAATTACGACTAAAAATAATCTAGAAGCCGATAAAGTTAATGTCATTAATTTATATTTTCAATTTCAGTATTGTTTTGATTTCTCCCTTAGTCTCAATAGGTGATAAGTTGCCTAAAAGTCAGCAAATCTTTACTTCTTTGAGCATTTGTAACTAATAGCTCCTGCTATCCTGCTCGGTATCCTTGAACTCACCCACGATCGTATCCAGGAACCAGTTATACAACCTTCTCCTGATTTGCTGGCCTACGGTTGTGTCTTGTCTCCTATCTGGTTCTGGTTCGTTCACTCATAACTAGTACGCTTGAACCATCGGGATCCTGCGATACCAGTCGTTCGTTTGAACTAGTCTGTTCGCGCAATACACATCACTATTCTGGATAACGTTCAGTGGTACGACGGTGACTCGAGTCGCATGCATAAATGGGCGCCAAATCGAACACGCATGACCAGAAAAATAGTTAGTAAGTATATATATTTTTTTTATATATCGAAACAGCTGCGCAGGCAGAAGCCTAAATGCCGGAACACCGCGGCTGCTATGATGATCCCAAAGAAATTTTGTTAATACGATTTTTGAACTGCCTAAGGTTAGTAGAACTGGGAAAAGCTTCCACAATCTAGACACCCTCGGGACAAAGGAGTGGTCTTATCGGCCAGTTCTGGATGTACGAAGTTTGACACGGCTAGGATGGGACGCCAAAGTCAAGCGGGTCTGTCTGGCAGGCACATCGCGCGGCGGCATCATGGAACAGAGCTCTGAGGAGCAAAGCCCGTTGGTGTAGCGATAGAAAAGAGCTAGATCGCCGACGACCCGCCGCCGCCGGTGCGAAAGAGTCCCGAGACTGTCTGTTAGAGAAGAGTCATCGATCAGTCGGACCGCCCTCCCCTGGACAGCATCGAGCATGGACAATGTAGTCGGGGCGGCAGCACCCCAAATGTGTGAGCAATACTCGAGGCTAGGCCTTATCTGGGCCTTGTATAGAGTGAGGTCATGCGGAGAAAAGTACTTCGTAGCCCTAAACAAATAGCCTAGCTTTTTCCCAGAAGCTGCAGATACTGAAGAGATGTGTTCGTGCCAGATCAGATCCTCGGTGATCTGGACTCCGACCAGCCGAAATGAATGGCTCTTTGGTAGAACTCGACCGTCCATCGAAACTGTATGAGCGCTAGGACGCTTTTTGTTCGTCAAAGTACAGTACTGTGTTTTGGAAGCATTGAACTGTACAAGATTGTTGCGTCCCCAAGCAGTGATAGCCTCCAGGTCTCTTGTCAGAGAAGAATTCGTCGCTAGTCTTCTTTTTTCCAGCTCAGCGGCAGAGATCGGCTTGTCACTCTGAATTCCTGCATGTAGAGTGCTGTCATCAGCGAAGTTGTGGATTGGGTTGATCGTGCAGGAAAGGAGGTCGTTGATATGTAAGAGAAACAGTGTTGGAGCCAGACCGATCCCTGGGGAACACCCGCGTTGACGTTGTGGGATGAAGAGGAGAATCAGTCAATTACAACGGATATCTTGCGGCCAGAGATAAAGTCAGCCACCCATCTGCAAAGCTTTTCTGGAAGGCCATAGGATGGAAGTTTGCTTAAGAGGGCAGCGTGCCACAGGTGATCGAACGCTTTCGTGATGTCAAGAGCAACGACATGAGCCTCACCATGAGACTGGATGAGTTTACTCCACAGTTGCGTGACGTAAGCTAGGAGGTCCCCTGTGGATCGTTGGTGCCGGAAACCGTACTGCCTGTCGCTAATCAAGCTGTGCCGTTCGAGGTAGTCCAGAAGCTCGCGATTTATGCACCTCTCCATCACTTCACTTATAACAGAAAGCAGAGCTATAGGCCTGTAGTTGTAAGGGTCGGTCTTAGATCCTTTTTTTGGGATGGGCTGTACATGAGCAAATTTCCAGTTTTCTGGGAAGGTGCCGGATTCATAAGATATCTGGAAGAGACGCGAAAGAACTGGAGGAAGCTCCGCTGCACATCTCTTCAGTACAATGGCAGGAATCAAGTCCGGACCAGAAGCTTTGTTGATGTCGAGCGACAAGAGCACTCGTCTTACGGTCTTATGCCTGAATGTTACCTCCCGCATAGTGTGGGGAACCCTTTGAATTGACGGCACTTGGGCGTTGGTGGGGACGTCCATGGTGGAGTTGGCAGCAAAGATCTTGGCTAGCACTTCCGCCTTGGCCTTTGAATACAATAGTTTCATCCTGACACGTAAGTGGTGGAAGGCTACTGTGTGAGAATTTCTTTTCAATCTGCTTGGCCAGCGTCCAGAAAGACCGACTGCCATCGAGCTGCGACATTACCCTGTGCCTGACTTTTATATCATGCTGGTTTTTGGCATTGCGAACCGCTTCATTATATCTGTTTCTGGACTCGACGTCGGCTTGTCTGTTCTCTACAGTGGGGTTCTGTAAGTAGGTTCTGTGGACCTTGATCTTCTGCTGGCGAGCAATGTCACACGATTTGTTGAACCAGCCGTTGGACCCCGGTTTAGGAACTTTCACTGTGTGAGGGATGTATTCCTCCATTCCGACGTGGATAATTTCGGTTATTGAAGAACAGACAGTCGACGCATCCGCGTCAGTGAAACAGACATCTCTTCAAGGAAAGCTAGAGAAGAAGTGTCTGAGCCCCTCCCAGTCGGCATGTCCGTAATGCCAAGTTTTGCGGGCTGTGCGAGTTTCTGCTGCCACAGCGGCTTCTGACCGAAACCTAACTTCCACAACACCGTGATCTGAGTTACCCAGGGGGGACAGGATAGCAGTGCTGTAAGGGACAGGTTGCGTGGTCAGAAAGAGATCCAGCAGGCTACTGGCGTGTGACGAGACGCGGGGGAAAAAGTAGGGCTCGTCACCAGCTGGGTCAGCCCTTGAGTAAGAGCGAACGCTTCGACTGCACGACCTGTTGCATAGGTCTTATTTGAGCCCAACCAAAGCTCGTTATGGGCATTGAAATCACCGAGGAGAACTACCTCTGAAGCGGGGTGATTGATGTTCAGGAAGTCGATCTGGACGGCGAGGTATTCGAGTAGGTCATCCCAGTTATGGTTCGAGGGAGAGCGATAAAGGCAGCAAATAAATTTGGGTGATGTTTTGGAGTTGAGGCGAAGCCACAGAATGTCCTTCCGGTCTGATTCCAAAGAAAGATCCCTGGAGCAGGAAAGACTGCTGCGGACAAAAGCCACAACTCCCCCGTTCTTTCTCAGATTGGAGTGCACCTCGTAGTTTGGGAAGTTGAGATGGTTAATCGGTGCAGTCTCTGAGATTTTTGTCTCCGCCAAGAAAAGCACGGCGGGACGATTGGATTGCAGGTAGTGATGAACAGCATCAATGTTGCTGTTGATCCCGCAACATGTTCGAAAAACGAATTTTATCTTCGATGTTGTTCCCTCGAGCCCACCCTCCACCCGGACATTCCGAGAGTGGAGTGAGTTTACCTCCGGAGTTCTTAGTGCTCGAGGGATCCAACATCATTAATTTCTTTGTTTTGGTAGATAACCGACTACACTCAAGTACGTGCAACTTATCTACTACAGTAATTTGATACATAATACAGGAAATGACTTGAATGTGAAAGAGGTCAATACCAGGTCGTATCACTCGTCATCAACTGGAAATACATGGTGCGTTCTGTAGACACCCACCCTACATCAACTTCTCATTCCTCTTCGTAAAAAATGAGAGTTAATAATTCTTATAGTTGAGCCTCTTAAGCTTTGTGCCCAATGAGACCTTTGGTCAGCATGAGAAAGGGAGCATCAAAACATTATTTAGTTTTTTGAGAAAATTCACCAAAACTGATTCCCCGAGCCGTCTTTTATTGTTGGGAAGAAGCGAATTAATGTCACGTAATACATTTTTGAAATCAGAAGTAAAAACGATACTCGTTTATGCAAAAGTCATAACAAAAATAAAGCGGACAAGAGGCGGAACGTTATATTGAAATTACAATCATGCTACTTTGTAGAGGATAAAAAGTGGCAATGTTAATGTGCAATTCATTTTGAAGTCTCATCTCAAATAAGTCTCAAAAATGATTTTGGGACAATTCGCTATTTCCATTTACCGTCTAGGATAATTTATAAACTTTCCAAGAGCTATTTCCTTAGTTTCATAAACATACAACTTTGCCCTCATCTAACCGCATCTCTGACGGTATACTAGCAAATATATATTCAGGAGATATTTATTCTTATCAGTTTAGTTACCTTTATCATTCCTATCACCAATTCCCTCGGCACTAGAGCGTTTGCTCTTGAGCTTGGATGTACTTCTGCTTTTCGATCTACGTTTGTTTATCTCTTTTATACTTGCGATACTTCTTTCCGATTTTGTGTATAACGTGCTTATTCCACCATCTTGAGGGCCTTTGGAACAACTCCTATGATTTGATGAACGTTTCTTGACTGGAGCATTCTTTTGAACTGTCTTTTCCTGTTTCTTTTTCTTATTGTTTTTCTTGTCGTCTTTGTCGGATGCATCTACAAAATGTATTCGAAAGATTAAATAGTAAAATCTTCTGTCTCTATTGGAAGTGGAATTCATTCTTCAAAGCTTATGTCTGTCAATTTTGTATATATATACCTATATTTATATATACATATATACAGGGTGGCGCATCGAAAACGAAACAGACGCATTTACTGGACGCTCATTTTTTTTTTGAAAAACGCTCAGACCCGTCGATTCTGTTTTCGAGGGGGACACAAGTTTGGTAAAAATCACGTTAGCACGTGTAGCCCCCTAAGCGGGGGTGACACCATCCCCAAAATCTTTTATGGAAAGGGGGGTCGAGTGATAAATTATTTTAAAGGTCTGTCAATTTCCTTTATAATGATATAAAATTAATGTACAGTTCAGTAGTTTTGAAGATTTATTGATTTAAAGCTCAAATAAAACTAATACATCATCATTAGTGGAGATCAATACATTTGGCAGTAAAGTCATTTAAAAATGAAGGCAAGTCAATGTTGAAAATGGCCACCATGACTCTCCATGCTATAATAAAGATTTTGCTCAAAACGTTGCCGCACATTTTCCAATACTTGAGGAGTAATTTGAAGGCACTCATTCACCATTCTGTGGCGCAGGTCTTCTAATGATGTTGGCTGAGTAGCATAGATTTTGCTTTTTAAATGACCACACACAATGAAATCCAAAGGTAAAAAATCTGGCGATCTTGGGGGCCATTCAACGGCACCTCTTCTACCAATCCATCGATCTGGAAACGTCTGATCTAAATATTGTCGAACACGTAATGCGTAATGTGGTGGGGCACCATCCTGTTGGAACATCAACCTATTCGCAATGTACCGCCCATCATTCTGATTTTCAATTATGGCTGTTAATGCAGGATCCATGGCGCCTTCCAGTAATTCCAAATACATTTCACCGGTCAAATTTCCAGGTAAGAACAAAGGACCAACTAAATGATCGCCAAAAATACCAGCCCAAACATTTAATTCTTGTGGCTGCTGTGTATGAACCTCATGATAAATTCTGGGATTAGAATCGAACCAATATCGGCAGTTATGACGATTTACTACGCCATTTAAAAAAAAAGGAACATTTGTCGGAAAAGCAAGTGTTGAATAGAAAATGTTCATCGTTTATAATTCGTTCACTCATATCTTCAAAAAATTGTAATCGCCGATCAAAACCGTCTTCATTAAGTCCTTGTACCAGGTGAATTTTATACGGATGAAAACTATGAGCCTTCAGAATCCGTTGGACAGTACGTCGACTAACACCACACAGAGTGGGAGCTTAACGTAGGATCTACACAAAATTGCCCTAGAACCCCCACTTCTATTGCTTCGTGCCTTATGGGATTTTCAATGTTGCGTTTGTTATTGGCGACTGACCCAGTTTCCCGAAAATTAGCTACAAGTTCTAGAACATATTTTCGATGCCCGTTACTGTTCTCATGTCGCTCATTAAATATTTCTGCTGTTCTATTAGCGCACTGATTATTTCCGAAAAATATTTCGATAATTACAGCTCTTTCTGCTGTGAAATATACCATGGTTAATTTATGTAATAGGGCATTATAAGTTATTTTAGCAACAATGTTTGGTCAAATCAATCGCAAACTATGTACTAAATTCCAATTTAAAATAAGTACGAGATATTTCCTTATCTTTCTTCAAGAAATAACTTTTTTGCCACAAAAAAACGCTCCAATAGCTATTTTCAACAAAAAAAAAAGATAAACAAACGATGGGCGTAGTGAAGAAAAGCATTTACTTATAAGTAATTTCTTTTAGTCAAATTTCTTCTAAAAGTAGTACAAACTAATCTGATGTACCTATTAAAGTCTACTTTTAGCTTTAAATCAATAAATCTTCAAAACTACTGAACTGAAGCTCATGTAATAAAGGGAATTGAAAGACCTTTAAAATAAGGTATCACTCGACCCCCCTTTCCATTTAAGATTTTAGGGTTGGTGTCACACCCGCCCAGGTTGCTGCACGCGTTAACGTGATTTTTTGCCAAACTTGTGTCCACCTCGAAAACAAAATCGACGGGTCTGAGCGTTTTTCCAAAAAAAACTGAGCTGCCAGTAAATGCGTCTGTTTGGTTTTCGATGCGCCACCCTGTATACAAGGTGTTTCAGTTTATTGTTGCATAACTTTAAGTTTCGATAGAACCTTTAAAATTAATGCATAAGGTCTATATAAACATGGGTCGAAAAATGCGTGGCTTCCGAAATACAGGGTGTTTGAATTTACTTTCTAAAATAGTTTTTTTTAAATATTCCGAACAATATTTGATGTATAACAGTGAAAATTGGTATACAAGGGTTTTTTGGAACGACAGAACGAACCATGGGCATAGTTTTACTGTAGCCGCTATAGGGCGCTCTCTACTGTACCTGTAGTGTATTGAAATGACCGAAAAAATTTTCTTAGTGCAATTTTTTGCTTTTTGAATAAAAAAACTGATTCTTCGCACTTTTCGACATAAAAAAGCTCTCTTGTGAATTTTCGTTACAGTTAGCTGTTTTTGAGATATTTCGATTTTTAAGGTTCGATGCATTTTTAATTATTTATGATAAAATAACGTGAAAAAGTCAGTATCTCGATGCAATTTTTAATGCACGAAATTTAGTTTCTTTTACCTGTTTTTTTTTTGTAAGTTTTATAAAAATGCTATTTTTATTCTCCAATCAAGCAGATATTCATTTTGTGTATGGCTTTGTAAATGGAAACTCAGCAGAAGCAGCCAGAGAATACGCACGAAGATTTCCAAACAGACGACATCCAACTCGCTCAGTATTTGTAAGAGTGCATCGCCAAATAATTGAAAATGGTTTTGGAAATATACAAAGGGATCAAAACATAAATGTTCGTCAGCGCAGATTTACCCGTATGATTCTGCGTGAGTTTGATAGAGATCCGACCACAAGTGTTAGGAGAGTTTCTGGTGCCTTGGGAATTTCAGCAAGCCATGTTCGCCGTGTTCTTAGAAATGACCATAGACGTCCTTATCCTTTGCAGCCTGTGCAAGGACTACAGCCTGGGGACGGAGAACGAAGAATCACGTTTTGTCAGTGGATTCTTGATAGAACTGATAATAATTGGGAGTTTTTAAGTAACGTTTTATGTACCGATGAGTCATGCTTCACTAGACGTGGAGTGATAAATTTTCATAATCAACATATACTAAGTGACATATAAATCCGAACACCCAGTTTAAATAAAATTTTGTATAAGTACTTAATGAAGCATAATAAGTAAATGATAAAAATTTCAAAATGATTGCACTGCTTTAAAGCCCTTTGACATTTAATAATGTGTGGATGCACCCTGATGTGCTACGCATTCTCCAACGCACCTAGGCTTGCTTCTGATCAGGTGGTCAATGTCCTCCTGTGGTATCTCATTCCAGGCAACGACCAACTCCTCTCGAAGTGCTTCTAGAGTCTGAGGAGGACGTTGCAAATTGAGCAATCTCCTACCCATCATATCCCACTCGTGCTCAATTGGGGATAAGTCGGGAGATCTTGGTGGCCATGGTAACAATGTGACATCATTATGTTGAAAGAAGTCTATTGTGACTCTTGCAACATGTGGTCGGGCATTATCTTGTTGGAAAGTTGGATCTGCCAGGGTGTCAAGATAGGGTAAAAGATGGGGTTCTAGAACTTCGTGGATATAACCCTGCGCGTTCATGTTACCTCTGATGAAGATTAAAGGTGACCTGGAACCATAAGCTATAGCACCCCAAACCATAACTCCAACAGTGTGATGAACATGTCTTTCAACAAAAAACAGTGGATTCCTCCTTTCACCACGTCGCCTTCTAACCCTGGCACGACCATCGTGCATGCCTAAACAAAATCGAGACTCGTCACTAAAGACAATACTGTTCCATTCCTGATCCCAGAGTGACCGTTGTCTGCACCACTCAAGGCGATTACGTCGGTGTTCTCGAGTTAAAGGGAGGACCCAGTGTGGCCGGTATGAAAACAAGCCAAAACTTCTCATTCATCGGTATACACTTCGCATGCCAATAGGTCTTCCGTGTTCTGCAAACCATTCATTTGCAATGGACCTGGTAGTGGAGAAACGGTCCCTTAAGGCCAATAATCTTAGACGGCGATCTTCACGGTCTGTTGTTCTACGGCGGCGTCCAGTGCCCCTTGCTCTTTGCGTACGGCCTTCTCGAAGCCATGCCTGACAACACCTAACCACAGTGTCTACACTTCTTTGCACTCTAACTGCAATTGCCCGAAAAGAAAGTCCAGCTTCCCGAAGTCCCACTATACGGCCCCTATCAAACTCACTAAGTTGACGAAATCGTGCAGGTCTCCGTACTCTAGGCATCGTAACCGATCGTAAAGGATGTCAAGAACCAAAATCCGCCAACGTTGATTCTTTACTGCGGCTGAAATATTCATTTTTAGAGCGTTAGTGAATTAAAAAAAAGCAGTATAAAAACCAGAATGTCCAACTGATAAGGCTGAAAATTTTTTCACTTGTTATTTACAGTAAGATAATTACATTCACCAACTTTCATTAAAATAAAACCATTTAAACTGGGTGTTCGGATTTATATGTCACTTAGTATATTTGGTCGCATGAAAATCCGCATGCAGTTCGGGAAAGAAATTTTCAGCACGAATTTAGTGTGAACGTGTGAGTTGGTATCTACCGTAATCGACAGTTTGGACCCTACCTTTTGCCTGCAAGGTCAAATGCTGCGACCTTCTTGGAATTTTTAAAGGCTGAACATGCAAATATGTGGGATGATGTTATGTTAGATTTAAGAAGATTCGCCTTGTTCCAGCTTGATGGTTGTCCAGCTCATTATTCGAGAATAGTTAGAAACTGGCTGGACGAAAATTATCCAGAAAGATGGATCGGACGTGGAGGACCAGTCACCTGGCCTCCACGATCCCCTGACCTAAATCCATTAGATTTCTTTGTGTGGGGATTTCTAAAAGAAAAAGTGTACCAGACTCCCGTAACCACAAGAGATATGCTAATAGACAGGATCAGGAATGCATGTGATGAAATAAGGCCTTATTTGAATAATGCTATACCACGTTCGATCATTCGTAGATGTGAATTGTGTATTGAACGATTGGGTTTACATTTCGAGCAACTAAAGGGTGTCTCAGAAATATTTTCGTTTTTAGATCAGTCCTCTGGCGGAATACGCATGCTCCGGAGAAACGAGACAGTTGACAAACGTTTGGCAACATTGTTAAATTTTAGTTGCAATGGAGCGTTTTACAGGGCCGCAACGTGCTTTTTGTGTTCGCGAGTTCTATAAAAACAAGGATTCTTATGTGCTTGTACGTCGTTTGTACAGAAATCATTATAACATAGCAAGAATGAGAGATGTCCCAAGCGCAAATTTAATTAAATATTGGGTAAGAAAGTTCGAGAGCACTGGAAACACGTGTATTAGTAAACCGCCTGGACGGCCAAGGTCAGCAAGATCGAACGAAAATATTGAACGTGTGCGCCAGTCCGTTAACGAGGATCCCCGGCAATCATTAAGACTGCGTGGAGCGTCTCTAACTTTGCATAAGTCAACTGTTCATCGCATTATTCGCAAGGATTTGCATTTTCACCCATACAAGATTGTTGTTACACAACAATTAAAACCACAAGATCCCGCTAATCGATTAGAGTTCTGTAGAACAATGAGAGAGCATTTTAACGGTTACAACAACATATGGTTTTCTGATGAATCGAATTTTCACATTAACGGGCATGTTAATAAACAAAACTGCCGATATTGGACCGAGCAGAACCCGCAAAATCTTCATGAGACGCCATTACACTCGCCTAAAGTTATCGTCTGGGCTGCTATGTCAGGGCAAGGAATCATTGGCCCGTATTTTTTTGAAGACAATCGTGGCCAAGCTCAAACTGTAACATCTGAGCGCTACTGCCACATGGTTAGGACTTTTTTAACTCCAGCTATACAGAACCATGGTGGCTACAATAGAAACACGTTTTTCCAGCAAGATGGAGCGACTTCTCATGTCACGAATGAATCCTTGGATGCTCTTCATCAGTTATTCCCAGAGAGGGTCATCAGTCGCAGAGGAGACATTAACTGGCCACCGAGAAGTCCCGATTTGACACCAGCAGATTTTTTCTTATGGGGATACCTGAAGAGTAAGGTATACACCCCACCGCCACAAGATATGAGAGAGTTGAAGCAAAAAATAACAGATGAAATAAACGCCATTCCTCGAGCAATGCTTCGGAGAGTTATCGAAAACTTCAGTTCGAGATTAAGAGAGTGTGAAAACATGAACGGTGCTCATTTATCCGATACTCTTTTCCATAAATAAAATTAATGTTTAGGCTTTCGTTTGGTAATAAATTTATCTTTGTAAAAATATTCTAAGTATTTTTATTTATGGCATAAAATAAGAAAATATTTATGAGACACCCTTTACTTTAGATTTTGTATGTTTGTCCTAACTATCCAATAGCATTTTAGTTGTAAATAATTAATTTAATTTGTTAAAAATAATATTGGAAAATTAAACAAATTAATATTCTGTTTTTTTGTGTTTATTTGGAGTTAGTAATTATTGCTGTGTTTAAAAACACAATCTAAACATCTTATTTACTTGTAATGCCCAAATCGAAAATGTAAAAAAAAATATTATTTTCCCATAAATAATTAAAAATGTATCGAACCTTAAAAATCGAAATATCTCAAAAACGGCTAACTATAACGAAAACTCACAGGAGAGCTTTTTTATGCACAAAAGTGCGAACAATCAGTTTTTTTATTCAAAAAGCAAAAAATTGTACTAAGAAAAAATTTTCGGTCATTTTAATACACTACAGGTACAGTAGAGAGCGCCTTCTAGCGGCTACAGTAAAACTATGCCCATGGTTCGTTTTGTCATAGGTACCAAAAAACCCTTGTCACCAATTTTCACTGTTATACATCAGATATTGTTCGAAATATTTAAAAAAAAAGTATTTTAGAAAGTAAATTTAAACACCCTGCATTTCGGAAGCCACGCATTTTTCGACCCATGTTTATATAGACTAAATGCATTAATTTTAAAAGTTCTATCGAATCTTAAAGTTATGCAACAATAAACTGAAACACCCTGTATAGTTAATAAAACCATACAATTGGATAGGGAATACGTTCGCAAAGGATGTATGAATGAAGGGAAATATAAAACTTCTATTCCATAGCCTCGTATGTCGCAACGAACGGCCCTTTTTCTGGTGATCTGGTGAAAAGGAATTGTGTGTGAAGGGCAAGAACGTGAAGGACAGCTATCCTGATGCACACCGAAATGCGGACAAAAACCATTTATACGGTATTCTTGTGACGTATATTATAATCAGTCGGGCAGCGGTTTTTGGGTTACTCTTTCCAAATCCGCTGTTAGTTTGTATCTATGAGGGCATTTGGGTCACTTAAAGGTTATTTCAGGGACACTTTCTAAAGAGGCTGAACACATGAGCCCAATTAGATGTCGCTTATGTAGGTTTTTCTAATCTCTGTTAATATGAAGATAATTGAAGATAAGTTCAACAACCAGAGTCGAGTCCTGCCGAGTGTCATGTAGGTTTTTGCAGTCTTTGAGTCCAGTTAAGCGATCAGTTTGTCTTTATTGAACCATTTTAGGGATACTAAAAGGGCAAAATAAAAAAAGTCGAACAACCGGTTCCGACCATCTACCATAATATGGTTATAGGGTTATATTTCTCAATTATGACCAAAACATGGCTCTAGACTTTATCTGAGAGTACCCTCACAAACTTGATGTTCAAGAAGAAGGAAGTGACGGGGGGTATTTGCTGTTGGTTGGCAGATAGTCTATATATTTTAATAAAACTAGAGACAACACAGTCTGTGTACCGGATTGGGAGTATTCTCCCGACGTATCAGACGCATAATCGTCCGCTTCATCGCTGGAGCTGTAGTGGTTCCCTCTTTGCCTACCCAGACTGTGGCTTCTGCTCCTCATCCTCCTGCCCCTCCTGCCTCTCCTGTGACTTCTTTTTTTTCTTCTAGACCGCCTAGACCGTGTCCTTGCCTGACGAGCATGTTTGCCAGTCCAGCTCCGGTAGATGGCATAGTCCTTGGTGTCAAGGCCCAACTTGTATTTGCCATTCTTCTTCATTAAGACGCCGCATTCCACGCCTGGAAAGCATTTTTGAAAAAATCAGGAAATGGGTAGTTTCAGACAAATTGAAAGTTCGTACTACCGGTAGGGGCATTACGTACAAAATCGATAGAAAGTCACTAGAAATCGGTAAAATATCCACTTGTGCACTAAGTAGACGATAGTTCCATTTGTACCTACCCGCTATGAGCGCCATCTATAGAGGAATGGTACAGCGACCGTCATTTTGGCAATAATATAGAACACACAGCTTAGGCTATAAAAGCTACGAATGGTCCTCACTAGTCCCAAGTCTGAAGTAGATGTTACATCAAAACAGAGTCAAACCATATAGTTAAAGTGTAATGAAGTTTAGGCAACACGCACATCTAGTAAAACTGAACATCAAGTGAACGGCAGTTTTTCTGAGAAACCTATAGCCGTTTTATACTACAACGTGGCTCTTGTTGTTCCTGAGTGATTTTTTCCCTCTCCATCTTAGTTTTCTCAGGTTACACCCGAATCCGGATGTATGGGCATGTGTATCTACTTTTGTAGTATCATATGTGCATTCATTTCCGACCTGATCCTATTCTCTGCTCGAATCCACTTTCATTCTTTTTGCGGATTTTGTCATCATTTATCTATTTTTTATATATTGAGTCATTTATTTTAACAGTGAGTAGATCTGATCAAAAGAAATGTTTTTTTCCTTTAACATTTTTCTGGTAAAATTAAAGTAACAAAGTTATAGCCCTTTAGAAGTTTGAGTACCGCCCTGTCTCAATAATAATATTATGTGCTCGTGTTTGGCAACAACGGATATACTCCGCGTTATCGGTTCATCGCATCGGAAACAAAAAAGCGAAAGAATTTGAAACGATGTTTTTACTACAATTATTATTCAGTTGTATTCAGTCAATGTGTCAGTCGGTAACGCGTGAGTGAATAGTGGTGTTATAGTGCTATAACTTTGTTACTTTAATTTTACCAGAAAAATGTTAAAGGAAAAAAACATTTCTTTTGATCAGATCTACTCACTGTTAAAATAAATGACTCAACTTCGAAGTCACCCTGTATATATACAGGGTGCGCAATAAGTACCACGACAAAGTTAAGGAGAAGCTACGCTATGAACTGACCTCCCAAATAACAAAATCTTACCTATATAAAAGTGTCACCGTTTTTGAGATATTGAATTTTTTCTTTTATTTAAAAAAAACTTATAATGTAGCTTTGTACTATTTAGCATGTCACTGATCGATAATCGTTGCAACTTGAATTTAAATCCAATAAATACATTGTAGTGTGTGTAAGTCACTTACAATAGCAGCTGTCACTTTTTTCTATTCCAAATAGTACGTGTAGTTGCTTTCTGAAATCTGTATTCAATGAGCGATCTTTTTATTCTGGCCAATGAAACCACATTATATTTGAAATTCTTCTTTAATCTAGTTTACGTTTTGGTCACAACGGTGACCTTCTCCACTACATGACACTTTTATCTTATTTTATTTATATGTCTTCCTATATCTTAGTTTGTTGAAATGTTGTGGCTGATAGGCTATAAAAGCTTTTCCCCGTTCAAAACAAGCTATGTTAGGTTAAGGGAGCGACCCCCAAAACGTTTTGCCCAAATAAGCACAAACATGATTAAACTTAGCACATGATGCGTCAGCAGAAGTCGGAAAAGTGAGTTAGGGGAAGAAATAGGAAATCATGCCGCAGATAGATTGTCAACGTCAGGGAGTTTTACTTCGTACTGTTGTTGCGTGCAAATATACGTATAAGCGGCAAAATAAGGATTTTAAGAACACTAGAACCGTTACAGAGCCGCATTGTACTTAGATTTTGTTACATGAGCTTTTGTTTTTTCATGATGGTACACAGAAGCTTGATCTCAAGATCAACTTGTAAAGTGAAAGATGTCTGATCTTTGAAGTTCTTAACTTTGATCACACCCAATAAATATCAAGAGCTTGAAGACATATAAAGAGACTTTTTTGTTGTTGCTTATGGCTCCGCCATCACTAAACAGATTCTAATAAAATAACAGTTCTTGCGAATGTGACCCTAATGTGGGTACTGGGACATAGGTCTGTACCAGGTAAAAAGTAGATTACCTGGCAAGGCTCAACACCACGAATTAGCATCTGCAAAGTTACTCCTGATAAATTCGTTAACAACCCTTTGCGACCAGGTTTAAATTTTTAATATGAAATCATTAATTTTATATTGTATAGTTCCTTTCACATTTTTTTTGGGTTACGTCATCAATGCCATACGAAATAAGTAAACAGTTCAACTAAAACTCTTGCTAAACAGGCCTACGGAGATCATGTTTTGTCAGGAGCCCAGGTTTTTCTGTGGTTTAAGGCATTTTCAGAAGGGAGAGCGTCGATTGAAGTTGAACTACGAAGCAGAAGGCCTTCATCTTCAAGAACTCATAAAAATATTGACAGAATCCGGGTGCATATCGTCGGCTGACAGTCAGAATGATCGAGGAAGAGTTAGATTTGACTCACACCATCGTTCATTAGGTCAAGAAAAAGTGGGTGTCGCATCACGATAATGCTCCTCGTCACACAGCAATATCAGTAATCGAGTGTTTGCCCAGTAAAAACATTCCTGTGGCTCCTCAGCCTCCTTATTCGCCTGACTTGAATCCATGTGGCTATTTTCCCGGAGTTGAAAAATCACGTCAAAGGAACTCATTTTGGGACAGTCGAAAACATTTAAACGGCTGTAACCAACCAGCTGAAGGCTGGACCTGGTCCAGCATCGGAGTGGAAGAACCGTCTCCATCGCCGTGTGGCTTCAGAAGCAAGTTATTTTGAGGGTGACAATCTATAATTGTAATTATATTTGAATAAAAAAAAATAAGGAAAATCAGTCTCAACACTTAACTTACAGACCTCGTATATGTAGAATGTTTACACTATTACACCGAGATAAAAATGAATCAACATAGCATTGTTAGCTCCAAATAAGTTAACAGCTGAAACGACCCATTATTAGATGAAATTCAGCAAAACAGCCTTTGTGGTGCTTGCTTCAAAGTTCTATATGTGAAGTTGAGCTGAGCTGATCTATCTTGTTGGCTGATATAAAAGTCATAGGCAACCAGTAATTATCGTCATAATTTCATAATACAGACAGGCGCCAAGTAAATTGGCTCCCAATAGGCCGCAAAGGGTTAAGAGGCCCCCTATATACGTACCTCTAACGAGAGCCTTCTTGATCTGCGTAGGGTCCACCTTGCCTTTTTTACGTTTCAATATCAGCAGGTTATGCACCCTATCCAAAATTCTCCTGGATGTCGAGCCCTTCGCTTCTTTCATGTTAACGATCACCTCCATGATTTCGTCCAAGTAGCGTGGCCTGTGTCTGGCAGCCATAGTCCCGTGATGTTCCATGGGTTTCAATAACCTGCTACAATTACACTTATCGTGATCAAGACACAAGAGCAAACAAATAAATCCCGAGTAGCCACTGAAACCTTCTACAAGTTTTATGGCCGATGTTACACATTGTTTTCCATTTGATTCTGTTGAACTAAAACATTACTGCAAATTTCAAAATTTCTTTATACTCACCTTCTCTACCGCTTTTTGTCGGCTTATTCTTTTATATCCCGCCGATTAACCACATAAGATTCACCAATAGAAAATAAAACAAAAATAAAAGGTCTGAGAAATCTCAAAATTGCCGATTAATTTTGACGTCTTATTGCAACCATATTTGACACTGAAATTAGCTTACTTCGCAAAAGTTCTTGAAAAATATTCGATCTACAGGGCATTTTGCTACGTCGTCCAAATTGGTGCTAAATAGCTTAATACTTCACCGCTTTTACTTCCTACGCCACTGGGAAAAGGTATTGTAATCGCAAAAAATTTCTAAAATAAGATATTGCATGTTTTGGATATGACATGTAGGTACATCACGTCGGTCTGTCTGTCTGTCCGCTATTCCTTGGAGAGTCTATAACTTGAGAAGTATCGCTTGGGTTTCAATGAAATGTTCACATAAGATTGCTACTATGCCAAGGATGAAAGAGCTTTATAGCTTATCGAAATGAGTGCAGTGGTGGAATTGCTACAGGCAGATGATCATTTCCGAAAAACATTTCTAGGACCTAAAAATTTGCTGTTGGAGATCGGAGGGATGGAGGAGAGTATACTTCATTTTTTTGTGTGAGTATATTTATATGCTTTCGACTCCGGTAATTCTACGCACCTCTTAGACATATTTCGTACATCATAGTTTTCCCTATATTTGGCATTAAAACTTGAATGATAAAGAAGTGTTTTTAATCTGCGCAACGCGGTAACTCAACGAGCGGAGACTACTTATATGGACCTGTTTGACTGACTTCATCCATTTAATTCTCTTGTCATACGTGTTCGTAGCTAAGTTCTTTATAAAAAGAGCTAGCCTGTGCCGAATCTGTTGACAAACTGATGATAACGATGGAGAGTGCAGATTCAACATAGTTAAAATAACAATAATAATAGACGTCTTTATTAACACTATTACAAAATTACAGCGGACTGATTGGCGAAGTTTAGCATTTGTGTTAAGTGGTTAAGAGGGAACACGGGAAGCGAATATTTTTTATACGCCTCGGGAATCCTTATGGCAACATTATACAGAGTGTTCATTTGAAAACCTGCCACCACTAATTTATCGAAAACCACTGATTAAAAGGAAAAACGCCGAGACACATCAAAAGATTTGTCAAGGGGGGCAACTCTTTAACCAAAAACTACTTCACCCCCTTTCACCCTCTGCCCGCGGGGTCAGCCATTTAAAAATTTTAAATGACAAGGGGTATGGAGTAATAGCTTGTTTGAAAAGTTTTTCGAAGTCCTTTATTTTGACGTTTGATTCTTTGAAATCAGTCGATTCGTTTTCAAGGAAATTAGAAAAATCGTTATTTTAATTTGTTCAGATGGAAAATAAAAACACACGGAAACATCACTTTTTATTTCAATAAGTGTTCAAAATGTTGCCCGTTAATGGCCAAACAATGATATAGGCGATGTTCAAATTTCTGACAAACGTTTTTTAGAAACATGTTGTGGGATGTCATCGCAGCTTTCGATTATGCGTTGACGAAGTTCATGCAAACTTTCAGGCTGGGGAGTAAACACAATAGATTTCAAATGCCCCCATAGAATAAAGACGAATGACGTCAAATCAGGAGACCTAGCAGGCCATTCTATAGGCCCTCTTTGCCCTATCCATCTATCTGGAAACTCGTCGTCTAGCCATTGCCGAACCGCAGGAACATAGTGAGGAGGAGCGCCATCTTACTGAAAATATATTTCAGCCTTATCAAGTATAGGGCTTCCATCCTCTTCGATTTGGTTTCCAATGCTTTCAGTGATAAGCGGATTGATGGTATTCTTCAACATATCCAAATAAATGTCTCCATTCAGATTTCCATTAATAAATTATGTCCCAATCACTTTTTTCTATAAAATACCTGCCGATACATTATTCCTTTGGGGGTACTGGGTATGCCCTTCTGGCTATGCTTATTAATAAATCCATTTAGATAAAATGTGCATTCATCACTGAATCAGATATTCTTTACATGAATGATAGTATCATTAATCGCTGCAGTGATTTGTTCACAAAACCCAACTCGCCTATCAAAATTGTCTTTGGTTTGCCCTTGCAATATTTGCATTTTGAATGGATGCAATTTATGTAACTGTGTGTACAGGGCCTAATGAAATACCAGTCGATTGTAACAAATGTAACTGACAGCAAATTACATTCTTTCTTTTCCTTAGCAGCAAATAACTAAACAGGTATAACAATAAATACAGTTCGCCCAGGATATCTGTGTTGATGAAAAGAATCCAAAAAGAAATTTGGGTTATTTATTGTTGTTACGTCTAATCTACCCAATTGCTGTTTATGTTGGTAGTTTCTGTTTCAAATTATAAACGAGTTGTAGATTTGGGAAACCCTAACGGGCAACATTTTGAACGCTTATTGAAATGAAGAGTGAAATTTTCGTGTGTTTTTGTTTTCTACCTGATAAATAGAGATTTTTCTAATTTTCTCGAAAACGAATCGACTGATTTTAAGCACAAAATTTCCAATTAATCTTTGGGAGAGCACATATCTTATACTTTGCCTCAGGGCACACAGAGCTTTGAAACTGATCCTGGGGACCAGCAGGAATGTTGGAAGTTAAGCAACATTCTGTTGGTGACATATTAATTCCAAATAATACTGAAGCTACGTGGGAACAGCATTCTAAGGTTTGTTACAAGAAACCATCAAACTACCGACTTGAACAGAGCATGCGCAGACCGAAATTAGCGTTCCAACTAACGAACTCATACTATGTATGTAAAGCAAGTCTTCGGTTTGTTTATCTCCAGTGTCATAGTCTGTAGTCAGGACGAAGGTTTACACTATAATTCAATCAGGCTTGAGCCGCCAGTTTGATAGTTGCTAATATTTGATATGAAATTCGTATTCTTCAGCGAAAGCGTATGAAGATGCATGAGTCCTATACAGTCATAGTGTTCCAGAAGATTGTCGAAAATCGTGAAGGTTTCTGTGGAATTCCAAAAGCCGTTTATACTGAATAATCGATCGAAAAGTGTTAATATATTATAGTCACCGACGCGACGTTGCGGAAGGGCATGTACCTCAACGTTGGGTCTTACCTGGACAGTTGTTAGACTTATTTCAGTCCACTTCTTGTTTATTTGAGTTCTGACTACACCTTTGGTTTGTGATCAACACTGACAAATGAGAAGTATTTTATTTAACTTTAATTTTGAGTTTATCTACTTAAATTTTGAATCCAAGAGCTCTTAGGGAAGGTCTCAACTAGTAGGTCCAAAACAACCATGAATGTCAAATATTCTAGAACCTTTTATTGGATAAATATAGTGACAATGATTTAAAAGAAGTAATTCGCTTATTATCCTCAACTAGGTATTTGGTTCTAGTCAAGAACCTGTTTAATGAAGATAATGTTTCGTATTTTTCACTTGCCAAAATTACGTTTAGGGACCGTTAGTAAATATTTACATTCGTTTTTTGTCTCATTTAGTTTATCGCTGTTTGTTTGCGATTAACATCACAACAGAGGTAGAATTTCTGTCCTACTAGGTACACTCAGTACGATTGGCTACTTGCATACCCCTCCAGAGAAAAAAATTCGCTGATGTATTGTATTGGCGTGTCACTTTGGTAGGCAATGATAGACAAATGAGCCAAAATTTTTAGAACTACACAATTTTGGCGACAAAGAATGCAATGTAAACATCATAGGCTTCTAACCTAGTCGAATATTGATACTTGATAGACCACAAGCCGACCTCAAACTTTTCGGACATAAGGACATATATGACCTGCTTCAAACTGTTTTGGATAAAAACTTAGAAATTGAAACAGAAATAAAGAATAATAAAGAAGAAATTAAGCCTGAACTACAAAAATTACGTCAAGAATATTCCAACGATGTGGGCGCGATACGTCAGCAGAATGAACACTCCAAAGAAGAAATTGCTATTTTAAATAAAAAACTGAAGACTACAGAGCAAAAAACAAAAAAGTACTCTGTCGTCGTCTACGGCTTGAAGGATCCTGGAAACAAAGTGGATGGTTGTGCAAAGATGGTAGAGTTAATAAACAACAAACTTAAAAGTTGAATGTTCTTCTCAGATATAGAACCGGCAAATCGGAAGATAAGAAAACCAGACCAGTTGTCTTAGAAGTAATCTCAACAAATTTAAGAGAAGTCATCCTCAACAACTGTAAAAACCTTAAAGATACTGGAATAGCTACTAGCCACCACTACACTTCTGAAGACTATAAAACCAGAAAGATACTATACCAGAATTTAAAGCTAGCTAGAAGTGTTGGCTTGGAATCAAAGATCCAGCGCAATATCCTTTACCTGGTAAAGACACTTTCACGGCTGAGCAGTTGTCAGAAGGTGCTGATTTTCAGGCTGCGATTCAGAAAGATTTGCTCATTTCACTTCAGGAGGGTCCATCAGATTCTAAAGGAGGCGTCTAGAGGAAGCAAGAATCAATCGCTGAGAATAAGCTGAAACGATCTGCTCGCATCAAAAGTGTTAATAAATAAGCTCCAAACTATACTATTCCAATTCTGTTTTCTGAGTTGTTTTTTATTGATACACTTTATCTTGAATTTAGGTGCAAGGCGCAATCTGTGGATTCTTAATCTAAACATTAGGTCATTCATTCCTAGTTTGAGCACGTTAGCCGCATTTTTAAAGGAAAAACAAACAGATATTGTGTTTCTGAGTGAGACTTGGTTAGATACATCTGTACATTCTGATCTTTTAAATATATGCTCCTATAATTTAATCAGAGCCGATAGAGATGGCATTCTGAGTGCAGCAGGATCTACTGAACTATTTACAGAGCTTTTGGCGTCATATGAACTCAATCAGCTTGTTGATACACCGACAAGAATCACTAACACCAGTCAAACTTTGATTGACTTACTAGTAGTGTCCAATCCTGAGGTGATACATGCCCTTGATTTGTTCAATCTGTGTGGTATTTCGGACCATTTAGGAATAATTTGTGAATTGAATATTCTATCTTGCTCTTGTCGCCCCAGGTTCAAACAATTCCGGGATTTCAGGAATGTCAATGTACAATTTTTCCATAGCGACTTAATACGGGTTAACTGGAATTATATTTACTCCCTGCGCAACATAAATGAGATTGTATCTTTCTTCAATACAACTCTACTAGAACTATTTGATCACTATGCTCCTGTTCGTACAATTAGAGTAACTAAACTTCCCGCACCTTGGTTGACTTACAATATGAAATGTATGATAGCCTTGATCAATCACACTTTAGCGGAAAAGTCATTATGAACTTTTTTGTTTAAAATTTGATGCTTTAACAGAAAAAAATATAATATACAGGGGTTTCCATTTAAAAAAATGTTATTTTACTGAAAAAAATCAAAATAACGACTCTCAATTGTTTTTTTTTTATTTCTCATTTTTACCAGCGTTAAAAATGCTACTAGTTTGCCAATTTAAACAACTTTGTATTTTTACTAATAACAAAGTTACCAATGGTGGACACTTAATTTGGATAACCCTGTATATATATCTGATTCTTGTAAGATCGTCAATTTTTGTTCTAACCATCTTTATGCGGATGACACCCAATTCTATATAAGTTTTCGAACACCTGACTGTTTTGATCCTGAAAATAGAATAAATAGTGATTTAAATGCCTTATATGAAATTTCTGCTGCACACAATTTGAAACTGAATCCCAAAAAATCGATTGTTATGTTTTTTGGTAGCAAGATAAAGAGAAATTTAGCTAAAGACTGTATTAATATTAGAATACAAGGCGAACAGATATGTGTTGCAAATGACGCCAAAAACCTAGGATTGTGGATTGATAACGAATTAAGATTTACTTCGCATGTCACTTACTTATGTCAAGTATCATACGCTTATTTGAAACAACTTCTCCCTAGTTGTCACTTACTTCCTTTGGATACTAAACTTAAACTTTGCGAGTCGTTGATAATATCTAGATTGTTATACTGTGATCCTGCACTCAAAGTGGTTTATTCAGCTCGTCTCCAGCGTGTACAGAACTCTTGCTTGAGATTCGCGTTTGGTGTTGGAAAGTTCGACCATAACAGTTCCAAGTTTAAAGAGTGTAGATGGTTGAAATTAGATGCCTTGAGAAAACTACAACTAGCGACACTTGTTCACAAGGTCATTGTTAACAAGGCCCCTGTATATTTGTTGAACAAGCTACGCCCGCTTTCGAATCGCATGTAGGCAGATGTAGGCACACCCTAATTATTCCTGGTCACACAACGGCAATCTTTGCCAGAAGACTTTCCTTTAGTGCCGCTAAGCTGTACAGCTCCTTGCAAGATGATCTTAAAGACCTGTCACTTATCAACTTCAAAAAAAGATTGAAGCACTTGCTGAACTTTTAGTTGATGTCGTAGTTACTTAGTCCCTGGCTATGAATTAGGTTCATGACATGGTTTATCATGCTTTGTAATACTTATTTACTTCTTTTTTCGTGAAACAGTTCTCATTCAAATTTATGAAACATCATTAAATTACTATCATTTATATATTTTTTTGTATTGTTTTTTTGTAGATTATGGAGAGTATTTGTGCGTTTAATCTTGATGTTTTTTACCTGGGCTAAGTTGAAAAACAACTATGCTGACACTTCGCCTTTTTACCTGTTATTATTATTATTATTATTATTAATATACTTGAAAGTGCAAATTATGCAATTTTCGACCCGGAAAAACAATATGAATAAAGCAAAAATTATAATATACAGGATTTCTAATAAGTACCACGACAAACTTAAGGATAAGGTAGGCTTTGGACTGACCTCCCAAATAACAAAAACTTACCTATATAAAAGTGTCACTGTTTTTGAGATATTGAATTTTTTCTCAAATTTTCAAAAAACTAACCTTTTCATCTGTGGTCTTTAGCTGCATGTACAAATAAGGTTGTACTCTGTTCATTTTTTCTATAAAATCCGTCTAGATAGTTGCTTTATCATATACAAATGCAATGTAGTTAAAGGATATTAAGGACCCATGATAAAATAAGGACTGTTTTGGGATTTATAATCTTCTGATATTGTTTCCTCAACTTTCATAAAAGAATATCAGGAGCAGGTAATAATAATGTGGCTTTGTACTAGTTAGCATGTCACTGATCGGTAACCAGTGCAACTTGAACTTAAATCCAATAATTACATTGTAGTGTCAATCACTTACAAAAGCAGCTATCACTTTTTTCTATTCCAAATAGTACGTGTGGTGCCTTTCTGAAATCTGTATTCAAAGAGCAATCTTTTTATTCAATATAATGCAGTTATAGCCCAGTACATTTTTGTTTTACCATAGGTGGTCAAAGTTGAGGAAAAAATATCAGAAGGTTATAAATCCCAAAATAGTCCTTATTTGACAATAGTTCCTTAACCCGTAACCACAGACGGCCAATAAATTGAACATTACCACAGACGTGGCGTCACAATGACTCCTATAATGAAAGCCATGGAAAACATATTTGGAAAATAAAAACATGTTTACCTCTATCTTATATTACTTAAATAGTGTCTTTTTTAATATCGTTTTTAATAAAAAAAATTCTTCAGTAAAAAGCAACGAAATTTTAAATAAATATGTTTATTGTACACAATTTTACGTGAATTTTTACAATAACATTTTTTCTAACTTTTTAACTTAAAAAAATGAAGTTGCTAAGTACTTTTCATATAAAACTCGTTAAAAACATAAAAGAGAATACTTATAACGATCAGAAATTAACGTGAAGGTAATATTCTGGAAACGTGCAGTAGGTTTTCGAAGTAATTTTTTCATTTTGCACAGTCCACGCAAACCATATGAAACGGTTTTTTTCCATAGAAATAGTTTCCTGTAGAAACGCGGTTCGATGTCTCATCTTCAGTAGAAAGTATTTCGCAATCTCTGTCCATTCTTGTTCCTAACGCTCTCATTATCACTGTAAATCAATTCGGCATCTGAATCAATACCACTGCCGTTTCCATTTTCCTCATCCACCTCAGCAGCCCATTTCAGCAAAGTTTCTTCGTAGTCCGAATCGTCATATCTAACTATTTTTGAGGGTCCCGCTTTGCTATCAAAATCCATCCTAAAAAACTAAACTAAGCCGAGCATGTTCATGAAATACAGAAATGAGAATATAACATTATCACAGACCTGTAGTCCTTTTGACTTCGTCGGAAATTCAAGTCGTGATGAAATGTAAATAACGTACACAATCAACGCAACTATCTCAGTGCTAGTTCAATACTACTCGATGAAAAGATACCTCTACGCCTGGATAGATAGACTGAGGAGAAAACGAGAAATGCCCTCCACATACTAGCAACGAGTCAAATTGACTCCGCGTCTGTGGCTACGGGTTAACATATTTTAACTAAATTGAATTTGTGTATGATAAAGCAAATATCTAGCAGTATTTTATAGAAAAAGTGAACAACGTATGTGTACATGCAGCTAAAGACCACAGATGAAAAGGGCCGGTTTTTTAAAAGTTAAGAATAAATTCGATATCTCAAAAACGGTGACACTTTTATATAGGTAAGTTTTTGTTATTTGGGAGGTCAGTCCAAAGCCTACCTTCTCCTTAAGTATGTCGTGGTACTTATTGGACACCCTGTATAGATACATACCTGTAGATACCTATTATTTATTTAATGTATTCGTATTCATTGTAAAAATGACATTGTATACGCTTAAAAAAAGACTAAAGACAAACGTCAGCAGAAAAAAACTTGAACTTGGAGCACCACTGGAACATAAGAGTTCATAAAATAAGAATTATAAAAACAAATCTAAAAAGAGCACAGACAAATAAAATCCAACTCTAATAGTGAGAGAATAGAGGGTATAAATACCAGGAAAGATAATATACATGTATTTAGACAGAAAAATATATAAAATCATGTCATGATTGAGATATTTGTTAAGAATTTTTGGTTTTTCTCTTAACTACATGCAGAGATATTGCGATGTTTTTCAAACGCTTAATAAAATCCAAAAGCATTTTGAAGAATATTGCAATTTAATATTGTTCGTTTCTTAATTGAGTTAATGTATAACTGTGCGTGACCGCGAAACAGTCCAGGCACGACTGCTTGCTGCGGTGGAGATCTGAAACTATGAACTTCATAGTGGGGTTATAAGAACCTTTTTTGTCCAGAATAAAAAAATCTAAAAAACTACCCCGAATGAAGCAACTTTTTGTAATTTGTTGAACAAAACTGTTGAAAGATTTTTTGCCTGACAAAGTACGAGTACATAGTGGGTTCTTTTTTAATAGGATTGTCCAAAAAGCCAAATCAGAGTATTTATCCGACAGAATGCGAAGGTATTTCCTGAACTAATCCGATATTGCTGTGCAACACGCGAATTGCATTTCGAATAAAAGAAGATACTACAAAAGCCGTAGCAATAAAAAAGCGTATATTTCGTTCACTATTTATTAAAAACATTCATCTCAAACATCACAAAACAGTTTATATGACCCCACAATTTTCATTTCTTCATACTTGAACACACACATTCAGTGCGATTACAACCAGAACATTTTCGCTCGCTCTCGGAGACACCTGGAAAAATATAATGAACATTAATTGTACACGTAAGATGCTAAACCTCAACATCATTTGATAATATCTCAGTTTCATTCATAAAGTCTGTGGTATGCAAAGGTATCTGTTGTAATACAGCTTTCGTCAGTCCGACCACAGACGGCCGACCATGGACAGCTGTTTCGTGTTTCTTGCACGACGTAGACGCCAGACAGACCTGCCTGACTTCAGACTCCTATCCCAACTGTGTCGAACTTCGTACATCCGGAATTGACCGATACGACCGCTCCTTTGTCCCTACGGCACGGGTATTATGTAAAAAATCTATAAAACGTTAAAAAAACCTATAAGATGTCATTTTGCAGACTAGGTAGCTTTTAGGGTGCAAACAGTCATTCGACATTTGCTCGGATCGTTGTGAGCGTGATCCAAAGCGTCTATCTATGGAGGAACGAGTCAACTAAACTACACGCATTGTTGGTTGCATATGTTTTGTGCAACCGAGTGGTCTGTAGTATTCAACTGTGAGAAGAAAGTTAGTTGAATAGCAAGATCGCATCTGGATGTGTATTCGTCGCATGTGTATAAAACCACTGTGTGTGAAGAAATCATTACTGAACATTCTGCCAATGAAGTATATCTATTAGCTGTACTGTGCTGTGTTATTTGTGTTTTCCTTTCTGAAGAGAAGTTATGTTCAATGTTATATATTACGGGAAATCACCACCGCGCCAGCGTTGTGTGTAATTACTGTTAGCATGTATATGACTTGTAATTCGACAATGTACAGTGAATATAATTATTTATCTCCCTTATTTTTTAAATTCAGCAAATTTGCATATGTAATTTCTAGAATGGATTAGAAAAATTGCATGTGCAACTAATTTTTAGCCTTGATTTCAAGTAAGTGTATTTTAGACAAGAATCCAGTGGAATTATCATCAACACACATTATTAGCAGACAATGGCTTAGCTTAGACCTCCAGTAATGCCATCTCTGAAGCAGGTTTTACATCACATCAGAACCAAACATTGATAACTGATACATGATGACGTTTAGGCAACACGTACATCTACAAATGAGCTAGTAGTGCTAAGTTAAAATCTTGTCTAAAAACCTATATAATGTATAAAAAAACTAGTATAATGTCAGAAAATCGATATAACGCCACTTTTCAAGATACGTAATACCCGTGCAGTATCGAGATTGTGGAGAAATCTGTATAAGGAGGCTTCACACAGTTCTACTAAGCATGGACAGTTCAAAAATCGGATTAACAAAGTTTCTTTAGGCTTCTTACGACAGCTGCGGTGCCTCGGCATTTAGCTTCTGTCCATGCGGCTGCTTCGGTATAAAGAAAATGGTCTCACCTCTATACGAGGTATAAAGTCTATTCGAGTGTGACAGCACAAAGTGCCATTTAATACCAGAGCTGACTACTGTGAGAATGAAATTAATACAAAGTTCGTATTTTACAGTCACGTCACCACTGTGACCGCTACATGCCATCGATTCTGGCTGTATCAACAAATTCAGATTAGGTTAAAGGAGCAGCCTTACGATTTGTTGCTCTCCAGGATGAAAGTTCATACTACAAGCAGACTTGACATAAGTTGATTGTTTGACAGTTTTATCATCAAATTTGTATTCTTAAGGTTGCTGAAGTAATTTGAAATCCGAGTCGAAATTTGTTTCTTATACAAATGTCTAAGAATATAGTATCCTCGGTATCATTATATGTATAAAGAACTCCGAAGATAAGAGCGATGACACACACAGCGGTCTGTGCAGAGTCGGCTGCCGAATCCACTGCAGCTTCAACGTTGACACACACACAACACACAACGGCTTTTTAGTCGACAGCCAGACGGTCATTGAGAAAACGCAGTTGGGAGAGACCAAATGCAAGTTGTCGACTTTTAATTCGATCACTATATAATCTTTTCTGCAATGCTTCTGTCGATGACATTTTCAGTGGTAAAACACTTTGTACTAAGGCGCTTGAGCTTGTAAAAAGCGAGATGTGTGTGTCTTCGTCCTAATTGATTCTATATATTTTTATTAGCTAATTTAGTTAAAAATTCTCCTGGTTGGTGCTCGCTGCCAATGCTATTTTTAAAAAATTCGAGTATTGGTAATTGTCGTGTTATGATTTCATGACATGATACATTTTGCATAATTTCCACCTGTAAGTATTATCATTGATACGACGCTATTACTTTGGTAGGCATTGATAGTCAAATGAGTCAAAAGTATGCACTAAAACTACGCAGTTTCTGCGACAAAAACGTATAAGTGCTAATTTTCTAGATTAAACTGGTATTTGCCTAAATCACTGCAACCCGCACCTAGCCTCCGTGGTTAATGGGTTGCGGGTTCTGACGATACGGAGTATACCGAATATACAATCTCTGTAGCTGTCTCCCAATCTCAAAGTAAGTAACTTATGCAGCTAATGCACAAAAAATCGTATCGCAATTTCACATGAGGAGCATCAGTAACCTAAGTAGTGCGCCGGATAATCTCTTTTAGCCTTATTTTAAAAAAAACGTACCCCTTTTGTCGAGCCTCCGCTGGCTCCACACCATTTTCACGCTGTCAGCAGGATTTGGATTTTTTTCGTTCTTGTCTTCGATCACTCTGCCAAAGTCAACGTAATCGGCGTGACGCTTGGTATCAGATTTCGGTTCAGCAGTCGATGCAGAATCTATAAAAGAGTGAATTACTATTCTAACCTGTTCAAAAGGGACTAATTCCATAAGTATACTTTTAGCACGTGAACTGTCCGCTACGAGATATCTCGTAGGTTTATCGGAATAAGACAGCGCAAAGTACTATCAATTACCAAAATCGATCACTGCAAGAATGTAGGTTGAAACTGTTAAGATCTCAGTTAGCGTTTGTTATCCCAGTCACCACTGCGACTGCTAGAGGCTGGTGGTATAGTAGTGGTCTACTCGCCATTGAATAAACTAAACATAATGCGTTCATCGGTCCGACCATAGACAGCTGTTTCGTACTTTTTGGCAACTCATCAGCATGGTCCAGGCTTGGTTTCTGGAAGAACGAACAACGGCATAGCAGTGGTCTATTATGGTAATAGATGGCTCTTTGTGCTGTCTTATTTCGATAGATCTCATACCTTTGATAAAGGATGGTTGCTTGCTATGCTCGCATTCGTTCGGTTTCACGAAAAAACATTTCCTTAGATTGCAGCAATGAGCGTGTCCGTACTGGTAGAGTTTTCTTTGAAGCTCTCGTGTAAAACTATTTCTCAACAATGTTTGATATCTGGATATAATAGCTGTTCAGTCAACGTAAAGAGGTTCAGTGGTGCAGCGCTTTAACACTGAATATCAACAGCTGTGGCTACTGCTGGATAAATTTATCCGTTTGACAAGTATTCATTTGGTTGTCAGATTTGATAGCTTGCTATTTGAATGTTGCGAGAAGCCAACGCTATCCCATGGCTACTGTTTTTCAACATAAACGGACTGCAGAGCTAGATGGATTTTCAAGATGCATGCCCATGGAAGGGAAAGGAAGCGATTCATGCGCTTTCTGATTCCATTATCGAACATTGTTGACTGAGAAGTCGAATAAATTCGCCCGGATGTGGGTGCACCTTGAGTGAACGATATAACTAATGACAACGATGTCCGATTGTTGTCCCGCTAGATGGCGCTTGTGTGGTTGGCAGTCGAAGCTGTCAAACGTAGATGGGAAAAAGACATATTTGTTAGCACGAAGACTGGAGGGCGTAAACTACGTAACCGATACACGTATTTGTATGAAGCCAATTTTGTCACATTGGATGGTGTGGATCTTGGAAATCCAGTGGGCGTAGAACAAGACGTAAAGCGTGTGCGCATTGAAAAATATCAGCACAACCTACCGCAATGTTTACATGCATTACACTAACGTTTTGCCATGCTTTGTAGGCTTATTACTACAAGGTTTACTGATGTTATCCAACACTTATGCTTGCAATTCGTCCGAACTGTCATGACAGCGACAGAGAGTTGTCACATGCGCAGAAATCGAAATTCATTTCCTGGGCAATGGCAAAATTCATCTGCTGCACAGTGTGACGACTCACTTCAGCGTCGACATTTATGGTTTCACCCTCACTCATTTTAGTTTAACCTCCTATCTGAAGTCTTTATGTTTGCTAGAAGGGTCATGGAAAAGGTAACCGATCTTTCACGTTTTGGCGTCTTTTGATATGTTATTTCGTAGTCGCAAATATGACGAATATGATCCCGAGCCTAACTAGCGCCTTCTGCATTTAGCTTTCAAGATTCCCCCCTTTCCCCTCAGTTCAACATCAGGTCCTACCCGTCGACATTCCATTCCCGCCGTCTTCCTCAGTAGTAGCTCCACTGTCGCTTGGATCGGCAGTCCTTCTCCTCCTCCTGTGGCCCCTCCTTCTTTTGCTTCCGCGCCTCCTTCGACCTCCTCTCCTCCTATGCTCTCTTACAGGAGTCCCATCGCTTGCATCGCTGTAGTCAGTCTCGCAATATTCGCAACATTCGCTGTCGCTCAGTTCGCCAGCGTGATGACGCCTCCTCCTCCTTGAAAAAAAAAATGGTTTTCAATAAACGTCGGATATAAACTTCAATAGAAGCCACTACAATAAAGATATACAGCACATGGTTTTGGTGCTTCTTATTCAAGGTCGACCAATTTTGTAACCAAACGTATTCTATTCATTGCAATGAGGGCATGGTTGAGACCTGGTTCTGATTTCAGACTGCACATCTGTAACGGATTTGAAGCTAATATGCAGCAATAATATTTAGGATCATAGCTTTTCTTTAATGCTCCGAATACGTTGAAACCCTCAAGCAAAAATCGAAGAGCTCAAAATTTTTAGCTCAAACAATTTATAGTAATCGAAATTTCAGCCCAAACCAATATTAAAGGCGGCATATTTATCTACATGTAACCGGCGTCCTTTATTAAAGGCTCACCCGGTACAAACAAGTAGATTACCATACCTCCAATATTAGTGTCACGTGCGACATATACAATATCAATATTTTCTGCGCTTGAATATTTGTAACTATTTTTTTACATTTTTGACAAGTTCTAGGGAACTTATCTTCTAACCGCAAAGTCCTTATGACGCTCGAAAGACTACCCATTTAGCCTCTTGGGCAACTCTAAAATCCTCCACAAAAACCACTGAAAAAATTACCCTGAAGCGCTTTTCGCTGAAACCGGGCTAGACACATAATAGCTACTTTTGAGTTCTAAGTTCAGTACTGTCACAGAACGGTTATGGAAGACCAAATGCTTTAAGGGGAATATCTCTGGAGCGGAACTATCAGAATTTTGACAAAACCCGAACAGCCTGAACCCAGGACTACGGCAACAAATAGTATAACTGTATGAAGAGAGGATTCATTTATTTTTTATTCATTTATTTAGCAACATCCAACAGCCATAGCCAATTACAGGATGGATAAACATGAAAATATAAACAAATGCATGTTGTGGATGTATGTAGAGAAAGCTAAAACGCTGCAAAAAAAAACCTCAAGACAGAACTGCGAGGAAAAAAAGCGTTGTAGCTTTACCTACCCAGCACTCAACAATCTCACCGGTAAGCATTAACGAAAATAAGCATTAATGTCTCCCACAGTTGGACAAAACGAAAATATAACGCTATTAACTGAATTATAATTACGGCACATTATATAGATAGGGGAAAACTTAAGTATGCCAAGTCCTAGGCCTGGGTAAGTAAAAAGTTAAGTTTGTGGCGCTCATCTAGGAATTAAGAAGTTAAGTTGTTCTAAGATGACAATGCCATGGATGAGTTTGTGAATGAACTTAAGTGAATTCTTTTTGCGTCTGCTCTCTAAATTATAGAATTTGTGTCTCACTATGAGGAAAGCCAATAGCACGATATATCTCGTCAGCTTTGTATGAGAGGTATTTTAAAAACTTTCTTTGACCGGACTCTAAGCGGTGAATAGGTATATATTTGATGATGAGGATACCATACAAGGGACGCATACTCAAGCTTAGATCTTACATTTGTCAGTAACTATAGCCACACTTCATTTAGTTTTGTACGCCGCGCCGTTTGTTTTGTTTATCCACTTTTCTTTTAATTTTAATTAAAAAAAATCCTCAAACCACAAAAAAGTAAACAGCATTTAAAGCAAAACCAGTCAAATAATTTTAATGACATTGGCAGAAGGAATACGCATGCCTGAAAAATCAGTTCAAAAATGGTCTCAGCAGTAAAGCAAAAACTGCTTGAACGAGTCTCGAACCACCCTAGAACTGAACCAGAATAAATCTTGAGCACCAAATTTCATAGTAATCCAACAGAAACCCGAACCTCGCTGGCCAGGATACTTCACCGGATGTTACAGTTTACCTTCCCGAAAATTGCTGAGAAAGATACTCTCGAACTTGCGTAGAGTTATGTGCAGGAGCACCATCTTGCTGGAACCAGCAGCTATTAACCTGTGCCAAAGGCGGTTTTATAGATCATGTCGCAACAATTGGACATACCGTAAATAAATGCGCTTAATATTCTGGTACCTACGTAGAATTCCACATCATATATTAAACCCAAAACGTTCTTGATTACTGGATACTTTTTTAGCCAGTAGATTGTCATGATGCGAATGATGGGTGTTGCGGCGATTAAAGATACAATTACTAGTGACCATACTCTTGTCGGATCATGTTGTTTATAAGAGAAATTTAAATCTTCTTGACACGTTCGTGTGTACCAGTCACAAAGATGCCGGCGCCAGTAGCTATGCTTGGCAAATCCTGAATTTATAGGGGTGATATTTATTTTTATACAAAATAAATTGGGCTGTGGATTTGGTTACTACTGTATTTTTCTCAATTTGCCTAGTTGATATCTCAAAGTTCTGAGTAACCGCTTATTAAACTCTATTCTGAGCTTCCTCTAAAGATTCCTTTTTCCGAGACGTAACAGGCTTTGTCAAGCATTTGTTTGCAACGCCTTCTTGGAAAAAATAACAAAAATCAGAAATCATTTTTCCTTATAACCAAGAAAGTAAATGTAACATGTCATACATCGTTGAATTCGTATGACAATGCTATTAGAATATACATAGAGTATACTTCTTTTGGCCCATATAAAAAATAAAGTTGATGGTTTCGCAAACGAACTAACCGTCGTGCACAAACTTTAAATACACCATCATGTAGTTCCTTGAAGGTACTATTCGAAAAGTTTTATCTAATTTAACCTAAGCTGAATCTCCCACAAGTATTGAGATCCCCGTGGATAGAATCCTTACCTTGGACAACCTGTATACATTTTTTTTAGGATATTAATGATATGATGGAGCCATTGTCTCACATCAACAAAGATCTAAAATTTAAAAATTACCTTCCACTCCTCCTACGCCGTTTGCTTCCCTTCCTACGTCGCCTAGCCATGTAGATCTTGTTTGATATGTCCCCATCATCGGTGGACCTTCGAACCAAGTGTCCAAGATCCAAACCCAACCTGAAGTTACATCCAGTTCGTTTTATCAGGCCATTGTCGATACCGAACTTCAACGCCTTTTTCACCTGTCAATAAATTAATAAAATCAAGTGGAGGAGAATTTTTGCAGACATTTTTTCCAATTTCATAAAATAAATCTTAAGGCTTGACCACCAGTCAGTTTGAGCAGGCAGCTTGAGTATTGATTACCTAATCCTGCGGTGGTGGCATGGGGTGCCGTAATAGCGAAAGGATGCATCCTCAATATTTAAAACATTTTATTTTAAATTTTAGCAGCCTTTGAAACATCAAAAAGTGAAGTTGAAGCGACTTTTGGTTCTGTGCACTTTTTGTCGGACCTCTATACACTTACCATGACAACTCCATTCCTTAAAATAGCACTTAGATGAAGAAATTCGAAAAACTGGGAATTTTAATGTCATTCGTTTTTCCATCACTTCTTCATACATCAGAATGTATCTATGTTTCAACAGTTTTTGAAATTCCTCTCCTAGTAATGAGAATTCGACCAAACCCGGAATAAGAAATCCATTACCCGATTGAAAAATTAAATATACTTATAGTTGTGAGCTTACGTCGTTGATAGAAACTTTATCCTCCACGATGTCAGCGATCTTCTTGAGCGACGACCCTCTGTTGTCCTTGAGGTGGAGGATGGCCTTCATCACATCCGCTATCACCTTTGTTTTCTTTGATGATGGCATCCTGGTCAGCTCGCGTTCTTACGAAACCAGAAATTTAACCCAAAGTTATGTTCGAAATTTCGAAAATGAGAACGATGAATTTGGAAACCCCCGGATGTACCTACTCAATAATATTCCGCGATTATGAAAACTCTGGAAAAAATAACGTTCAAATTTTGTTCATGAGAAAGTCAGTGTCAAACTTTCCATCGAAACGGGATCTTCAATTGTTTCTCCTGGTGGATCGGTGATACAGGGTGTTGGTCGAGCTGTAAATTGATGTGAATTTTGGTGTTCTTATTAGTTACAGCTAATGTAAGGCACACGAGAGAGGCGTCAATAAACCCAAAATATGATATTTTCCTTGCTACCTTGGATATTTGCAATGAGAAACTTCTAAAGTGGAGCTACTGGGAACCACCCCATAGAAACCTGATTGGGAATGACTTATGACTATTTTTTAAATTCAGTACATTATAGATCTTAGTGCAGTCAACAAAATCAGCCACGAGCCTAAGTTTTCCGATGAGTATTTTTCGAGGTCTTGGCCCCATTCCATAAAAGTACTGAACTAGAGCTCATTACACAGCTGTTGAGAGCAATAAATGTGAAGAATATTGCCAACTTCTTTGAGACCGCCCACAGTGGTGCGACGAGTTCCACTTTGGAAAGGGTTAAAAAGAAGAATTTACCTCAACATTCTGCAACCCTTGTCCTCATGAAACAGAAATAGCTAGAGTAGCGACCTGTAACTGATCATTATAAGAAAAAATTGATTGATTTGTCAGAACATAAAGTGAAAAATAAATATGATTAATCTCTAAAACTTAAAAATACAAGTCACAAAAATAAAAAGTCGTGAAACTGAAACACGCACAAAAATTAAACGATACACTCTGGTTATTCAAAAATTAAAAACAAATACAGTGTGTTTCTTATATGAACCGAAAAAAAATATGGGTAATTGGGGACGCTATTTGATGATTTTTGGTGGAAACCATAATGCTCTAAGGGCTACGGGTACCTACAATGGCGCAGAACTATTGTGATAACTTTTTTGTTTGTCGAGATACTAGCACAAGATAAATTATAGTCGATTCTGTATAGCATACTGAATCAGACGAAATTAATGATTTGTACAATGACTTATGACCTTCCAAAGTCGTAAAATAACGCAGAGTGAATAGACAATTTTAATTCAAAATTCGAGTACAAAAAACCTGTACCTTTTTTTAGAATTAGTTGTATTTACAAAAGTTCTGTGGTTTATTGCCTTTACAACGGGATACTATACATCATAGAAATAAGATGATTTGCGGTCGATAGACGAGAAAACAACTGATTAGGTTCAGGAATAAAGAATTTATTTTTTCAGTTTTGTACGTTTTAATTTGGTGTTAACATATCATAAGGTATTTTCAAAATGACTGCCTTCATTTCTGAGACATGCTCGATATCTTGTCCGTATTCTGACGGTTGTTGTGTGTAGCAGGATCTCTTCTTTCATCTGATGAAAGTCAGCTTCAATCCTTTGCATTAGCACTTCTCTGTTGGGCACCTCTGTTGCATACACCAATTCCTTCGCTCGGCCCCAGACGTAAAAGGTGTCGGGTCTGTAGACCGTGGTGGCCAAGATATAGGACCACCCCTACCAATCCAGGCCGTAAACGGGTTGGACGTAACGAGCGGGGCAGCCATCATACTGGAAAATAATTGGTGCATCGGGTAAAATTGGTAGCAGCAGATCAAGCAACGCAATCTGCAGGAATTCCAGGTAATTTTCACCATTTAACCGGTCTGGCAAGAAATAGGTCCTGTCAGAGTCTGTCCAATAACGCTGGCCCGCACGTTGATGCTGAAACGTCTTTAAAATCAGCACTGTCTTTCCTTGTGTGGGTTCTGGTCCCGGTCTGCCCAATAGTGTAGATTTTGTAAATTCACGATTCATCATGGTTGAAGCCGGACTCATCTGTTCACAAGATCCTCTTCAAAAAGCTACAGTCGTCCACATCCGTGTGAAGAATGAATCTGCAGAACTCTTGCCTTCTCGTACTGTCACCTTCTTCCAGAGCTGTAACATAAATACGAATTCGGTTAGCACAACTGCACATGTGTCAAGGGCTAATGTTTATGACCATAGACTATCTTATGACTAGACTTTGACAAACTGTATACACGTGTTCATGAGAAATACGGATTTCAACTCTTATGCTTGTGACTGTGATTATGACAATGATTATTAAAATGTTGCATAAACCTGACAAAACTTAAAATTACATTACCTTGTACAGGACAGTCATGAAATGGATATTTCCGATTTGGCTGTAACACAGACCAGACTTTTTTCACCGACACAGCAAGTCTTTAAGCCACAACCCGAATACTTGTGGTAGGATCCGCATCATATGCTCTCAGGATTTGCTCATCAGTAGTCACACTGAGTTATCGACCACTCACCCTAGGCTCTTGAAAATTCATGCTCCCAGTCTCTCTCAGTCGCCGATATGTTGTTGCGAAGGTCCCATGGTGAGGTAACTGCCGATCAAGGTATCGCTGCTGGTAAAGTATTTGCGCTTCATGTGAATTGCAGTAAGCACTGCCATAAACCAGCAACATATCAGCATATTCCTCGTTACTGAACCTTGGCATTATGACAAAAATGAAACCTGATAATGACGGTGAAAACACTAACAATGACAAAAACAGAGACAACACTTCTGGTATGAGAGATAGTCATAGCTCGACTACCCCTAATTTCGTAATGCACTCTTTTATATATGAGATGATGAGGATCGTAATTGAAATGTAATTATCAGGTAAGCTCAGGAATCCAACACGGGTAATTAATGAGCTGCGATACCGGGAATACATACCTGTCAGGTTATGGGATTAGACCTTCATGGCAGCGGTTTAGAACACTGATGATAAATCGTTTTAAGTAAGATAATTGCTTGTTGAACCAAATAGTACAATTATTGTAAACCGTTGTTATTAATACCCGAAGACGTCTTATGGAAATCCAGTTATCGGATGTCATTAACTTCAAATCCACCTGCATAAGAGGTATTCCTAATCTTTGTACTCCTTGGCCCTTGCTAACTTCATTATTCTCAACAAGTGGAGGCAGTCATTTCGAAAAGACTGATTCAAATTACATAACAATATATAAATCGCACAAAAAATCATTAGCTCGACACACTCTTTCCATTAATTTTCATTGGAAAGGCAAAGAAACACGAAACTTTTTGGAATAAAACTAAGTATCACCAGAGGTATAGGTTTTTCGTAATCGAATTTTGAATTTAAAGTTGTTCATTCACTGCGTGCTATTTTGCGACTTTGGAAAGTCATAAGCCATTTTATGGAAAAGCTTTGTACAAACCATTAGTCTCATCTGATTCAGTATGCTATACAAAATCGACTCAAATATCTTGTGTTATTATCTTGACAAACAAAGAAGTTATCACGATAGTTCTACGCCATTGTAGGCAATTCAGCAAAAAAAAATGAAAAAAATCATGTCTCGGAAACCGTAGCCCTTAGAGCATTACGGTTGCCACCAAAAATCATCAAATAGCGTCCCCAATTACTCATATTGTCGGTTCATGTAAGAAACACCCTGTATATTTGGAATGACAACAAAAGTGTCATCACTCGTACTTTTATGGAACAATGAAATCCAACTTTCCAATATAGTCCTGTAATTTGTAAAATATGAAGTAGTACTAACATATCGTGTTTGAAACTTACATGGAACACAATACCTCGTACTAGCACAAGCTACAAGTAAATTCACCTGTAATGATTACATCATACTTTTTATGGAAATTTTCAGACTGGTTCAGTCGTATGATTGGCTTTAGCTAACTAAGTTTTGCATCCGTGATTTTTGTATTGATGGTAGCAACGGTACTTTCGCTTGAATCGTTCAATTTTGGTTGAACTACGACTGTCAGGTTATGTTTCTTTAGAGTGGATTATTACGAGTTCCTCCAAGGATACCGTATCTGTTCCTGAGTTTCTACGGAAAATATATTATTAAAGGATATATCGGAATGCCGCTAAGCATAATGAAACATAATAGGTATCAATTTTCACTTCCTGAATTATTAATCGAACAAAAAAGGATCATAGCTTGTTCCTTTTGGTATCTATGTAAAACATTATTTGTTTGATTCGTTTATACTACTATAATTCTAGAGCAAAAAGAAAATCCACAAATAACAAAAACAAGTTACATTAAACATAGAAGCTAAAATGTCTCGTTAGTAAGATACAGGGTGTTATAAATTTCTACGCCAGATATGAGCCTGAATAAGATAAAAACATTAATTCTGTTCAAACAAGACTTTAGTAAGATAAGGTAACCTAATAACTAGGGCTTTGAGTGATAACGACAACCAATTATGCGATTTACCAGAGGATTTACCAGAGGACTCGAGTTTTGTCTAAAGGATTTGAAAGTATTTTAATCAATTTGATTTCCATAGTTTTTTTTTAGCGTCTTTCATAATAGAATCTCATGGCACTAGAATAAGATCTTAAAATTACTATTTGCTACCGTTAAAGTTTCGGCTTGCCCTTTTCAGTATTCATTAAAAAATGTTATGCGACTCCAATATTTTGCATTCTTTAATTGATGTTAAGGAATACAAGTCTGTCAACAAACATTAGATTGGGACTGAGTGTCCAATAAAAGACGAAGTGAAATGAAATAAATCAAAATTACCTCACGACCGTCCAGGTAAGAACCAAATGTTGAGGTACATGATATTTAGCAACGCCTATGACTATAATGTATAATAACACTTATTGATAAAAAAAATCACTTAAATAGTTTGAGATGAAATTTTTGCGATCCACAGACACCTTTACTAGCTTCGACAACTGTCTGGAACACTAGGATTGTATGGAAATAAAAGTACAAATTTAATGGAAAATGTCAATAAATGACAAACTGACAGCTTAAGCCTAATTATTTGTATTATGAACTTGCATCCTGACTACTGACTACGTAATTTTGGTTACAAACAAACGGTTTGCTTGCTCCTTCTGCCTAGTCCGAATTCGTTGATCACAGTATGTATAATTTGAAGCTTATAAAAATGTTTGACAAATTCTGAAAAGGTCAATTATGACATGTTGACCCAGGATTTTGAACAATTTTTGATACAATTTTAGGCCTATCGACATGCAGGTTGGTTAAAACGGGCCGTTTTTGAATGAGATTATGCAAGAAAATGAATGTTACCTAACGGATGGAAAAATAGAGTATTCCCTGAACTATATGAACTTCTCGCTATAATTCCAGAGCAAGTGCAAATTCGAACGATCTGTGGGATGCAGAAAGAACACCTGCTAATAAATAAATAACTAGGTTTATCTTGTAGCTGATCTACTGCGGTTGAGGGAGACCTTCCCAAGGTTGATGTGAATATAAAATGCATCAGTGCAAGATTTAATGCGGTTTGCAACTTTGATAGCACAGGCCAACAAAAGTGAGCCGTTTCTCTTACCCAGAAACTAAACTATATGAATTCGAGGCCCAAATCACTGAATTTTGTTGTTGGAGAAAACAGTGTGCCCTAAACTCCATCACATTTATTCAGCAAACCCAATTTTACAAATAGAAGAATAATATATATATATATATATGTTTATATCAACAAAAACAAAAGCAAGGTCTCTTTACACATATGAGCGCCTAATTTCAAAAACCTGTATGCGCCCCAAAAACAAAGCGATGCACTTATCATCGTTATTTAAATGACAAATTATTTTGGACACTAATTCGTAAACCGCATGTGAAGTGCTTAAACCTTTCCTAAAACCAAACTGACTCTTAGATAACAGCTTATTGGAGTCCAAGAATTCAACCAATCTAATCTTGAGGCAATATCTTTGCTAAGTTTGAGACTACACTTATTGGTCTATAGTTATTCATATACCCTTTATCTCCTGCTTTGTGAATCGGTGTTATAACCGATGTTATAACCGATGTTTTAAATTGTTTAGGTACTTTTCCCGTTTTAAAAATCATATTCATTATATGAACTAAGGGATCCAAGAGATATACAATACATGTAGTTGTTTGATTATTTTAGTCGTTAATTTATCTATTCCTGGAGAGCAACTATTTTTTAGACTCATTATACAGGGTGACTTTGAAGTTGAGTCATTAATTTTCAGATAATGATTGTAGAAGGAAGATAAACCAAAATATGTGTATAAAAATAAAAAAAATATAAAAAAAAAATTTTACCTTGTTTTATAAAGTATCCTCCCGACAAGTATTTCAGTGCGGACCTGTATTTGATCGTGAGGTCCCCTGTGAGGTCTGAAGTCACCTGATTCACGAGCCCGTTGTACTACATTAACAAAGGCACGAGGGGTTGGTTGCACTCGATTGGGAAACCGATCCGCATAAACATGTGCCATTTTTTATTTCGTTTGAGCCACGCAACAGACACTATTCACACGCGACTGTATGTACGAGTATAACTGAACTGAATAAAATAAACATCGTTCCAAATTCTTTCGCTTTTTTGTTTCCGATGCAATGAACCGATAAGGTGGATTATATCCGTTGTTGCCAAACACGAGTACATGATATTATTGAGACAGGGCGGTACTCAAACTTCCAAAGGGCTATAACTTTGTTACTTTAATTTTACCAGAAAAATGGTAAAGGAAAAAAACATTTCTTTTGATCATATCTACTCACTGTTAAAATAAATGACTCAACTTCGAAGTCACCCTGTATATTCAATAAATTCAATCCTGTAGCTCATACCTTCAGGATACCCTAACCTAAAATATCAGAAATAGCTATTTTTGGCTATGTTTGGGCTTACGTAGCATGAGACCATAGACATCATCTCAAAGTACAAGCCTTGGTCTTCAAATAATGTTGAGTTTGCTCAAACATATTTTTTATCGCCGAGATATGGCACTTTTTAAATTTCCATTTTTCTGATCTATATCGGTTCAGCTGTGATGGAGTGAAAATATTTTTCATTGTAAAAAAATTGCAATCGAGGGTAAGGACGTTAAACTTTGCCTTGATAGGGTAGAGTGGGCACACAAGCAAATATTCCACCTCTTCTTCTAAATACGGTGTTGCCACATAACCCTCTCTATTTTTCTTTTTAGTAACAACCGTATGGAAATAGGGAAGGGTGAGGAAAAAATGAAAAGAAGGAAAAGTCACGCAAACACGACGAAGTATGAAGTTCTGTTCCGTTCTGGTATTTATTTATAAAACTTTTCTGAAATCTCAATGTTTTTATTCCAGATATGCCGGATTTCGGCCTATTGTCCAGCAAGACTGTGACGGAGGTGCTCATGTTGGAGATGAAAATGTCTCCCAATGCCAAGACATATCTTGTATCAGGATATCCTAGGAATATGCGTGATGTAGTAGAGTATTCCGAAAAGGTAGGTTTATTATTTTTTATTACGGTTCCACTCTGAATAAAGAAATTTCCGAATGCCACTTTATGAAAGTAATGTCCCACCTCCGAGACTCTTCCGTTTTGTGAGATTTAATGTGAGTCATTGAAATCCAAGTCTGTTAGATAATTCGTTCCGTAAAAATCAAAAATTGGCGCCGTATTAGTCTACCAAGCAAGGTTAAAATTCCGTTTAACATACTCTTCGGGATCAAGTGTCAACTTGAAAGAAAAAATGATTCAAATAGCCTTAAGAAGTTGCTCCGGAACAAAAAAAATATATTTTGCTTTAGCAAATTGTTTAACAGGTGTTTACCCTATCGGCAATCTCTTGAATTGAGTGTGGGATTATCGAGAAACGTGATTATGAAACAAATCAATTTAGAGTTAAAAATGATGTATGAAAGTCACTAATTGCTCAGTATTGAATAAGCAGTTGTAGCTGACAAACAAGTTCCCCACATTCTCCTTAAATTTACTTCCAAAGCTAAAAATATAATATACAGCACATATAAGTAACTCGATCATTACCAATGCTGAACGAGTGTTATTTATTTGTAAATTATGGATTGTTCTATTTGTATCATTTTAATGGAGGAAACTAAGAATTACTTGTAGTAATCTAAAAATAATCAGGAAGACTGGGACCAATTCAATTATCGTGGAGGCCATGTTAGCGGAAAACGAAAAGGTTCTTTGTAATGTAATTTCCAGTTGTAGTTTTCAAAACAGCCTATGGCTATTTCTAGTGACTGACCGGACACTTAGATGGTGAAGTATTTTCTCAAATTTCAGCACGCTCGTAGGTGTATTTTTCACTTCCCAAGTAGCACAGGGCATTGGCCTAGCATTGTTTTTATATTGGATCAAATTTCATACATTGGCACTAGCATTCCAATCAAACACCAATATCTACCCTATATTGGCTAAACTTTGGAAAATACATTATTTGGTTTTCTCTTTTAGGCGATATTGGCCCACTATGTTATGTTGCGATATAGATTTCATAATATTTACACACTATTGTAATTGCGTTCTTAAACACAATTTTAGATAAATGTTGGGACAACACTGTATTGATAGCGGAAGTGCAATATTGTTAAAACATAATATTGGCCAAATATTTTCTTCATATAACACTGAAATAGTCGACCAATATCACTCCAATGTCGTTTGTTGATCGTTCAGCGAATATTCATAATATTAAATTTGTCCTATATTGGTTTACTTTTGGAAAATACAACATTTGATTTTATCTTTTGGTCTACATTGGCCCAATATGCTATTTTGCGATATGCATGGCAGAATATACATAAGCGCAGTATTGTATTTACGTTCGTAAATAAAATATTGCAGATACATTTTGGCATAATAAAGAGACATTGAAATATATATGTGATCTGATTCGGCCAGGCAATGAAGCCCTACAATATTTTTATAATTATTTCGGACAATATACGAAGTAGATCTTGCAACCAATATTGGATTTCAATATTGAGTCAATAAAGAACCAGTATTTTTATTATTATTTTATTACTTTATTGGGACAGTAGTTACATTCTTACATATAAAAAATATTGAAAATTAATTTTGAGCCAATATGAAAAGAATCAATGCTTCAATGATGCAAATAAACTTTGAAACATGCAACCAATATTGAATTGTAATATGCCAATAAAGAAAGTCCATATTGGGTTGATATAACAAATCATTATTGTACCAAAGTATCCAAATGTTTCTTGCAACAGTATCGGAAAGTTAGTTTGGTTCAATTTATAGGTAATATTGTTACTATATTGGGACAATTCACGTGTGCTACTTGCATTCGGATAATTCTAAACAAAACGGGACCTTAGTAATTATTGTATTCGAGCTATACGCAATTTAACATCTGAAAAACCCATGAGAAAAAAGCCTTATCATTGAAGTTGTCAAATGTCTAAATCAAAGTGCAAGACTTTCCCCTACAAGACTTCCCTGAAGAGTACTTTTTAGCTTAGTTTGCCGTAAAGGAAATTTTGTCCTTGTTTGGTAGACTTGTTAGATGCGGACGCCTGATTTTAGCGGACTGTATAATCTGGATGGATATAAAAGCTCCTAAGCTTTAATCTTTTGTCTTTCGACACGTTGTTAAATCATCCTAACTAAAAAGAGAATCACGTACGTCACTCCAGCTCAAAGACCTAGGTCTCAAGACATGCCTGTCCTTACTGAGAAGCAATACGCTCAAAAACTGTATTTTTTTACAGATTCAAATAGTCCAAGGTGTCATACTGATATCGTGGCGACAAAAAGTACTGGAACGACAAATAGACTACGGTGCCAAATTAGGTCAAGTTGTTTTATCACTAGCTCGTATGGAACTAAACAATTTCTACAAGAACGTCATACCTGTGGCGGAGTATTTCGACCAAAGCAACATGTTGATATCGGTAAGTAATCACTTGTGCGGGGGTGGGCGAAAAATCTGACGATCTCCACATACCAATGGTTTACCAAAGTTCCCATACAATGAATGATGGTGAAAAACCCCTAGGCTACCGGCTCATGCGCAATGTGTACTTAAGATGTCGCTCTACCAAACTGGTTCACCCATCTTCTATCAGCCACAATGACCTATGCGTCCGAGTATATGCACAAATTGCCACTTATTTTCGTCGGTCTGTCGATCTGTCGGTTTGCCTGACCGCTAACCCTTGGCTCCGCTATAACTTGGAAAGTATCAGTCGGATTTTGATTACCACTGTTCCAAGGATGAAAAAATGATTTCAATTTTTGAATAATTTTTGCAGGGGTTAACATTTTGGGGCTGAGGGTGTGGGTTGGTGTTAGTATAATAATACGCCTTCAGCCTGGATAATGCTAAGCACCCATTAAATAAATTTTACACATCATAGGTTTTCCCGTATATTTGTACCTACAACATAAAATGATGAAATATTTTCAACACAAGCGTCATTCGCAGACACGTATATCTGTGTCGGGGTCTGATCGATGCGCTGGTTGCTGTTGGTAGGGCGGGGTAAACACTCCTAGATCTCAAAGTTAAGTTGTCAAATGGGTGGGGACTATGGACTATTTATATGGGCCTTTATGACTGACCTGATCCATTTTTAATCTACATGGGCTAACTTATGCCGAACATAATCATTTATGATCACAGCGTGGCTTGGGAAACTAAACAACCATTAATATCGCATTCCATGTTTGGTCGAGAGTATTGTGTTCAAGGAAGCCTTTGGTAATCAGATGTTTTCTCCATGAACATAATCAACACAGCACCTAAGCAAATCAAGTCAGTCAAACAAGCCCACAGATATCCTTTCTCTGCCCTAGCGTTATTTAACCCGCCTGTAGTCGCGCCCTGATTTTGTACTCTGTTGATCGCGCTGGGTCTATCAGACCCAGGCGAACTTTCCGTTTTCTTTGGTACAAAAAAGTCGTTCGCCTAGAATAACGCATGTACCAGTATATTTTTTGACATATGTCAACTAATACTTTCAACGATGGAAGATCGACGAAATGAAATGCGTTTATTGATATTTCTCAATAGATCTACATCAAAATGTCAAACCAAAAGCAATCAAAAAAAGAAAATAGTGAAATAAAACATTGAACGCAAAGATGTTGATCGATAAGAAACATTGACTTAACGAATAATGACAAATTAATTGCTGTCATTTTTAGAACCTATTTTCACCCCATAAGAGTCTTGACACTGCGAGAAACCTATATTCAGTCGTGCTGGGTCTTAAATCCGAAACATGGAACAACACACTCGGCTTTGCGACTGCGCTGACACTAACAACAAATATACAATCTTCATCACACTATAGGAAGGTAGTGGGGAGGAGACATCGGCCAGTGTTGTCACATATACGCAGTGGTAGGTTTTAGAAGCATATGGGTCAGTCGGACTCGGCGCGACTACAGGCGGGTTAACACTGTCCATCTGATAACGTTGTTCCTTCCCACATCTGCACGGCAGCGCCCACTGCGGTACCGCTGCAGCGAGTTGTCGTTTATTCCGTGTATGCGTCTTGTTCGCTGCACTGCGGATAGATTAGTCAGCCAGACCGGTACGCCGATCAGTGAGCATTGATAGCAGGAGTACGCTTATTGAAAACTTTTTTCAATCATTCAGTTTCAAAGGCTCTCTGCAATCACCATCTAGATTGTCTGAGACAAATTCATTGAGGTCTGCAATCACCAGGCGCACAGTCAGCCGGAGGAATTCAGGGTTATTTCTGACGTCAGCTAATTGAAACTGATGAGTACAATAGCAGTAGCAGCAAATATTTTTCGAAAATGATTAGGAGCTTTTGACACGTTTATATGTTCGTCACAATTAGACCGATTTTAAAAAACTGCAAACCTTTTTTATCCTTGTCACAGTAGTAACGTTCTCTGAAAATTTCATTAAAATCCGAGCGGTACTTCTCAAGTTATAGGTGGTTATAAAACTAGCGGACAGTCCGACAGACTGACCGGCAGACAAATCCTCGGAAATGAGTGACATGCTTTTTCGTGATGTACATGTCATATAACATCCAAAAAACATAATACAGTGGACCCCCGATAATCCGGCACCTGTCTAATCCGGCGCCCCCTGTAATCCGAAATGTCTTTGAATATGTATTACATACATACGTGTTTGACAATCTTCGCTAATGTAGATCACGCATATTTTTGAAAGTCGTCATGGCATACGTTTAATGACTATTACCGGAGAGAAACTTTCTAACGATGCCACCTGCATAGAGCCCTTTAAATTAAGATTTTTGCAAAAGGTGAACGATTTAAATCTTGACCCGTCACAGGTATGCAATGCAGACGAATCAAGGCTTTTTTGGCGTGTGATGTCTAGCAAAACTTTCGTTTCTTGTAACAAAAATCCGTACCTGGACGAAAAGTAAGTAAAGAGCGTGTAACCATACTACCATGTGCTAACGCTACGGGCATACACGCGCTTAAGATGATTCATTGGGAAATCTAATAAACCACGGGCATTCAAAAATATTGATTTACCTGTACATTATTACGGAAAAAAAAGTTCATGGATGACAAAAGATCATAATTTTCTTCAAAAA